TCTCTCTATGCGATTTCCACCCACTTCCCAACCTGAGCCTCAGGATGGAGCAGGCAAGGCCACGGCACGGGCAGAGTGCAGGTGGGCTTTGGGGTGATGGAGGATGCTAAGGGAAGACTTTGGGGGGGGGCAGGGGCAGTTTGGCTCTGTACTAGCCACATAACTGGTGTTTTCTTAGCTTTCTCATGGCCTGCAAGGCAGATAAAAGGCCAGTCTAAATGACCAGGACTAATCTTTGGGATTAGGCAATGCTTAGGAGCTGTGAGGCTGGGAAGATTTGTTCTTTGGGAAATACTTGTGAGGCTACAGTGTCCCCTGGCTGACTGACTTGAGGTGGAGGGTGCCCTATACATGCTTGTCACTGAGGCAGAGCCGCCTCGGGAAAAGACCTCTATTCTGCTTCTCTGTATCTCTCCCACATGACTTCTCTAAGCAACACACCAAGGAGATCATGCGTGGGAACTCCTTTAGCCAATAGTCTTTAAGATACTGGCCCACTTTGGGCATGGTCAAATGTACCACTTCAAAGAGTTGTAGAATATGGCATTTAAATAACTTAGGGTTCTGTTGATATGAGACACAATTGCTCCTGGCAGCACCGATCTATTCCTGAGAGAATATTGGGCACTGAAGACACACCACTTGAAGTTTGTTTTCTTCTTGGCAAAACTGGCCTTTGGGCAAAGAACTGCCCATGCCCCGACCACTGACAAAATGCATAGTGTCCAGACTGGACAAACAGGATACAAAAATAAAAACCCTTCAAAATCTTGCCAAGACAGGGTAAGATGGTTTGAAAATTTTCTTTTTAAAAATGGTCTGTCAGTTACTCCAACATTGCAAATGAGACTTTGGGTGATTGCCCAGGTGGCCAATTATCTCTGTCATTTATTGTACCTTTTGGAAGTTGCTTGATTGTGCTTCCTGCTTATTCAAGTAATATTGTTTCCCTTCTCAGGTCTTTGATGAGTTTGAAGACTAGATAGTCATTGTTACTTTCCTCTCATGACTTGACCAAGCCATTTCTAATACAAGACTTAGATTCCTTAGGATAAGATAACTATTAAAACATTTAGCATAAGCCGGGCGGTGGTGGCGCACGCCTTTAATCCCAGCACTCGGGAGGCAGAGGCAGGCAGATCTCTGTGAGTTCGAGGCCAGCCTGGTCTACAAGAGCTAGTTCCAGGACAGGAACCAAAAACTACGGAGAAACCCTGTCTTGAAAAAAGAAAAATTTAGCATGAGGGAGGGGGAATGGAGTGGGGGGAGGGGCGATGTGTGGGAGGAGGGGGAGGGAATGGGAAACGGGGAGGGGGAGGAGGCAGAAATTTTTTTCAACAACTAAAAAAAAAAAACAAAAAAAGAAAAAAAATAAAACTCTACATCCATAAATGCAATTCAGCATTCAGAGAAATGATGACAAGTGCATCCATATCGTTACTTCTACAGTATACTCATGATGACTGAAAGCTAGGAAACTCCTTCTTATATTAACTCATGCTACTTTCTTGCATTGACATGTTGTAGTTTTAAAGGCTGCTTTTATTTCACTGACAGCATGATATTTAAAGTGGAAAAATCCGAATTTTATCATCAATCAAACCTTTATGTCTGAGTCCTTAATATAAGAAATGAAAACCATTTTTCTAGCATAGATTAGTTTACATTCCTTCTGAGATTTATGTAGTTAGAGTATAAGGAGTGCAGCTCATTAGCCTAAGTTCCATTTTTACGCAGTCTAATGATTACAGTACTTTTCCCATAAAATTTTGAAATCTCAAAATCCTATACTGTACTATTTATACATATGTTGGCTTCCCTTTTATTATATTGCTAATTTCAATAATTTAAGTGCAGTTTTTACCATATATCATAATTTCACCATTTGAAATACTCAACTTGTCAAAGATTTACTATTATTATGTAAAAACTTTTGTTTAATGTTTGAATAAAATTGAGTGTATGAAAAAAAACATTTAGCATGTTTCTTGCTTGAAATTGTTTATGCTGGTTGTAATTCTAATTTTTATACTTGATATTTGTTCTAGCCTTGATATTTTATACTTGATATTTGTTTTTATTATATGCAAAACTATAGTTTTATACTAGGTTTAGAACTCTTTTATTTTAGACAAAAGGGGGAGGTGTTGTGGGAATTCCTTCAGCCAACAGCCTTTAAGATACTGGCCCACGTTGGGCGTGGTCAAATGTACTATATATACAGATGTAAAAGCATGTCCAGCCCCTTGGCGGCTGGATTTGGTTCCTGTTCCTGGATCATGCAGAGGACTGTGGTCTGTGAGTCTACCCATAAAGAAACTTTTATTATACTCCATTGTGGGCTAGTGTGGGACTACTTTATTGTAATCAACAACATCCTGGAGACATTCCTTTCAGCCTTCAGTGACTACTCCCTTCTCCTCAACACCCACAGCTCATAAGGCTGACAGTCTTCCATGGCCTTCCTCTGTGTGACCGCTTCTTCTGGCTTATTGTCCTCTGTCGGAAATAAATGAGACACCTTGCCACTGGCCTTTCATAAGCCAAGGAACCCTGTGAAAATCTTGTAGAGAAAAAAATGTGTTTCTGGGGACTCAGATTCCAAGTTTTTGTTCATTATGTTGAACCAAGGACCATTATCATTTGTGACTTGATTTTTACACTTACCAAGTTTGTCTGGTAAAGGGTAAATGTGGCCATTCCAGCAGAGGCAAATGTAGCTGCTAATGTCTTACCTGTGGGGCTTCCATGTGTTCTTGTTCCTGGGTGGATTTGTTTTATGTGTAGGGGTATTATTTTACTTGCGTGTACATGTGGGCACCATGTGGATGCATTGCCCGAGGTGGCCAGAAAAAAGGCATCAAATTGCCTGGGACTGGAGTTACAGACAGTTGTGAGCTGCCATATGGGTGCTGGGATTTGAACCCACATCCCCTGGAAGCACAGCCAGTTCTCTCAACCAGCAGAAACGAAGCCGCTTCACCCCGTCCTATAGCCCCACTGGTGGGGGAACCTTCTAAACTCTTCTTTGCACTTAGAAACCTCACCTGTCCATTTCTTGTCTTGCCCCCTCCCCCCCCCCACCAGAGACAGAGCCTGGGCTGTCCTAGAACTTTCTCTGTAGACCAGGCTGGTCTTGAACTCAGAGATCTGCCTGCCTCTGCTTCCTGAGTGTTGCTACCAAAGGTGTGCGCCACCATGCCTTTTTTTTTAGTGTAAAACAGGCTAGAGGCAGGATAGTTGCCAAAGAGGTGTCTACTGAGAATTCACTGGTTTGTAGGAGTTCTGAAATTCATCCCCCTGGGGTGTAAAATCCAGATTCTGCAGTTAGGGCTATGCGGAGAAACCCATTCTTGAAAAATTCCAAACAGGAAAAGAAAAAAGAAATTAAATCTGGAATCTCGGGAGACCAGGTCAAGAATTTCCTAGTGGGCTTTGATTCTCTTCCTTGGGTGGGGAAGGTTTCTTTTGCTCCTTTTGGCATGTTGTGCTGTAGCACAAATTCTAATTGGTCGAGTTCGAGACCAGCCTGGTCTACAGAGCTAGTTCCAGGACAGGCTCCAAAGCCACAGAGAAACCCTGTCTCGAAAAACAAAAACAAACAAAAAAAAATTCTAATTGGTCTTAATAATAAAAACCTGAGTCAGATTACGGGGTAAATGCTGAAAGATCAGAGATGTAAAGGAACCAGCCAGTAGAGAGACTTTTTACCTCTACCAAATCATCGGACAGAAGGGGCAAGATCCTGCCTCTGTGAATCCTCAGACTGCATGCTCGGAGCTTCTGTCTCCTCCCACCTCTCTCTGCTCTCTCTGCCCATCCATAGCGCTCCCATCTCCTCCTCCCCAGTGCTGGGATTGAAGGTGTGCGCCACCACTGTCTGACCTCTATGGCTAACTAGTGGCTTAGATCTGCACTCTGATCTTTAGGCAAATTTTATTTGTTAGATCACAAACAAAATATTACCACATCATGCTGTTAAGTCTCCTACCCTCTGGAGATTCCCCTTGCCCTGTTGCTGTCTTTGGCCATGCTGTGCTTGCAGAGGTCAGAGGTCAGAGGTCAGCGGGAGCTGGCTCTCTCCTTTCACCGCGTGGGTCCTGGGATCAAACCGGGTCCCCAGGCTGGGCAGCAGGCATCATTGACCCATGGAACCATCTCAGTGGCCCATATTTTAGATTTTTACTGTAGAAGGGATTCCCTTTCAGGAACTGATCTCTATATTGAAGTAGGCTCAATAGCAAGAACAAGCCAATCCTTTCAATGGCCCGACACAATGTAAAGGGTTTGGGGGGCTGTCTGGCCAGTCTGCACATGTGGTAACTTTATTCCAAAGTTACCTATTGAGGCAGCAGACATCTAGGGGCTTCCCAGATTTCCCGGGGATAAATGAGAGACCCTGGAGTTGAACTGACTGGGACCAGGCACACAGCCTGCTGTCCATACCTCAGTGGCCCGTAGCAGCTGAGATATGTGGCTGTCCTTCCCCACTCAGAGGGTTGCCTTCTGCCATCAGAATTTTCCTTCTGCTCTGCCTTTCCACCCATCAAGGCTTCAGCAGTCTCTCACAAGCAGTCCTGGTTCATGGATATGAAGTACACGGAACAGGCAAATCGTAAAGCCAGAATGCAGTGGTGTCTGATGGGTGGAGAGAAAGGAATGGCCAATTTTGTAGACACCTGGCAAAACCCAAAACAAGCCACAGAAGTAAGAGCTGTGAGTAGGGGAGGATCTGGCATCTTCTGGGCTTCCTGAGGTGGTGTGTGCATGTATGCATGTGTGCGCACGCACTGGCAGCGGGGCCGTGGAACACTGAGGTTGTCTGTGGAGTTCAGGATGAAACAGCAGAATAGAGGTGTGGGAGAAGAGCTCTAGTCTTCAGTGTGAATCCTTTCGGAGACAGTGAGCAGTTTCCGAAAGGCTAAAGACCTTCCTTACAGATATTACATCACAATGGTGCCCCCTAGCGAGGCTCTGGAGAAGGAAGCTGCTGGGCAAAGTACAGTGATTCCAAACAGTTTAATGTAATTCCAAGACAGTGTGACCACATCTCTACACATATACAATATGCATATGTGAGTGTACAGATTCCATTAATAACTCGCTTCACCTCAGAGACCGAAAAAATGATCAAAAAGAAACTGAGTAACAAGCTATAACAGAGTTCACCACAACAGGACCCCCCCTTCCTCACCCTACAGTTAGTAATATTACAATTAAAATAACTATATTCTTCTATAATTTTTCTGTTAAAATCATCTCATAAATTTACAATGCTATTATTAGTTTCCAAGACTAATATAAATTCACTCCATTTTTCTACAACGAAAATGATGATTAATTTAGAAGCGCACGACATCATGATGAAAACGAGCATTTTAGTAGCGACAACTTCATCAGTTAAGAATTAGTTTTCTTGAAAAACATTCTAAAGCCAAGTAAAATATCCACCCTTATAACATACCTATAATGAGACTAAGGAACAGGTTACAGAGAGGTCTACGACACACTGGTTTGTCCTTTTAAACAAAAGTAGACATTATAAATAAAAAGAGAGACACACCACAGAGGAAAAAGAGGTACACGAGAAAATACTGTTGCACGCAATAGTTCCCACACAGATTAACATGGATTAACACTTTATTACAGAAACCATACAGTGAAGGGACACGCTGGCCAGGGCTTTCAAGGGGTTGTCAAGACTGGGCTGAGATGACCTGCTAGAGAAATATCTAGGTGAGATGACCTGGGGGAGGGAGCCTCCTTCCTTGGACTGGGGAATGGGCATTGACAGGTCCCCTCTTCTCCGTTTTAGTCCCAGGGAGTGTGTCTTCCTGCCCAGAGCGTCCTGAACCCACAGACAGCTGAAAGGTAAGCATTGCTACCGAGCTCTCTCGCCCGCCATCTTCACGGTGCCATTTTTCTTTTGAAATGTGAGATAATATTAGGCTGTAGCTGAATGCATGCGGTCAGAGCAAAATGGGTGGGAAAGCCCAGTCATGCTGGTCTGTGTCCCTCCCTCTCCCAAGCCTTCGCTGCTGGAGACCCGCAGAGCAGCAGAACCCTCACAGTCTCCCAGCTCTGCTGAGGTGAGGTGGACGGTGAGGGCTGGGTGCTGGGGCCTTAGCTGCGAGTGAAGGAACAGGATGCACCTTGCTCATTGGACACATCAGTGCTCTCCAACCTCTAAAGGGCTCCTCTTCCTTCTCATCCATAAAGCTATACGTTTCCTATCAGAAAATTTGGCTTGATATATATATACACAAACATATATATCAACATCTCTATCTATACAGTGCTTCTACTACACTAGGAATCCTGCAGCCCCAACATACGCCTTTCTTGTCAACTTCATTTGGTTAAAAACACACACACACACACAAAGGGTGAAGGGTGCTTTTGGGGCTAGAAATGATTGTGCCCTGGGTAACCCATGGAAGAAAGCCAGTCTCAAATGGGCAGTACACAAGACAGAGGGATGTGGAAGGGCAGGGAGCTAGCCGACTTGGAGGCAGCGTGAACAGGGCCTCTGCTTTGAAGGGTGTGTGTGTATTCTTCTCGCTCAGAGTCACCGGAAGCTAGAGGACAGCACGGTCAAGTCACGTTCAACTTCCTATGTCCTTCCTCCTAACCTGAGCCAAAGCACTGACACATCAATAGCAAATCCACAGTCCGTCAGCCCAGCAGGGAGCCAGGGAGGCAGGAGCAGGCTCTCAAGGCTAAGCAAGTCTTCTAGTTGACTGGAGCTTCCCGGAAGTCCTGAGGTCTGTGCTGACAGCGGGGGCAGAGGTGGTAACAGAAGCAAGGAGCCAATGCAAGGGGGAGGGGCAGGGGAGATCCATTTTTGGAAGTTGGTTGAGAGGAAACTAAAAAGAGCGACAGCAGAGCCCTTCTGTAGATACAGTAAATTTAAACTTTTCAAATAACAATGAAAAGCCCATTTCTATACCTCTCATTTTTAAAAACATGGGTTAGCTCCAAAGACAATGACACAAAATTCATTTGGTTTATTAGTGCAAAGGAACACACACACACACACACACACACACACACACACGCACGCACGCACGCACACCAGGACCTCAGAGTATGACTAAGGAGGGTGAGGTGAGGAGCATCGTACAGGACATTCATTCTCAGAGACCACAGGCGCACGCCCTCAGCACTGGCCGCAGGGGCAGAGCAAGCAGAGGTGAGCAGCCCTGAGCCTCGTGCTGCAGCTCTCAAGGGGTCTGTGGAGGAACAATCACATCACACATTGATCACCATGGGTCCTCCACAGTTCAGTGGTAGCACAGGAAAAAAAAATAATAAAACCCAGTCCACATAGTGAGTTCCAGACCAGCCAGGGCTATATGGCGAGACCCTGTCTTAAAGACAAAACACAAGACAAAAATAAAACACCCCCAAACCCAACAAGACGATCAGGAAAACTGGTATTTCCTGTCTTCTCCTGCTTACCAGTGGAGCCCACACTTGGCTCTGAGGCCTGTTTCACTGTAAATCCCCTCCATGGACCCAGCGCCATGGGCCACCCTTCGTCCACCCCAGCTCCTTCGGCTCAGAAGCACCTATGTCCATCAGCAGAGGCCTCTGAACTAGGTTTCACAGCGTAGCTGGACAATGGGTAAATTAAAGTACACATCATTTTACATGGGTTTTGTTTTTAAAGAAAAATGACTAAGACAGTAGTGATATGTGAAAACCCGGCCAGTGAAGACGGCATAAGGGTATGGTTCTCCCTCTCAAAATGCTGACCTCTAGAGGGTCACTGGGGACCCAGAAACAGCAACCATACCTTCAGAGCTGCTGAGAACCAGCACCACCTACTGCCAGGTGAGGGCTCTGGTCATGAAGGAAGCATTCAAGCCAAGACAAAGTTGCTGGAGCAGGGATCACTTCTCACCGCCCCTCCATGCTGTCAAGGCCTCGACCACAAGTACCGATACTCATGGCACAGGACCCGGCATCTGGCCCAGGCTCAGGCCTTACCCCTTCCCATTCCCTCTAGACTTCCTCTCATTCTCTCAGGGTCCCTGGAGAGCAACAATAAAGGAAACGCGCATATTGGGCTACAAGCAATATAAGCGGAACATGCCTGCCTGGGGAGACACAGCTTCTGGTGGAAGAGTCAATCAATCGCTGTGGTTGAAAATGGCAGTTAGGAACAATTTTCTTTTAAGAAGTACCAGGTTAAATGTAAACTATAGAGCACGTTAACTATAAAAGGTAGCCAGAAGTATGCTTGAGTATGCACAGTTAACTGTGAAGTCTACTTGATACCGGAGAGCGCAAAGGGCATGTTACATGGTGAGAACACGCTCCACACAGCCTTGACACCACACTGATCACGACACAAGGCCATCTCTTCTGGTGGAAGGGCGAGCTATTCTCAGGACTCACTTCGGCAACAGTGACCAGGGTATGCGTTCATCCTTACTTTCAGCCCACCGCGAATTCATAGTCTTTTGAATGACAAGGTCAAGCTGGCTACATGATTTCAGAAAAGGCTAAAACCAGGACGAATGCCCATATTTGAGGTAATTATTGCCATTGGGTCACAGTTTGCGTAAGGTAACGAATCTAAACCATCTGAGAACGTTGCGAGGTGCTCTGCCAGAGGCCCAGAACACCACTGACACCAACCAGGACCTCAGAGCTGCGCTAGCTGGGTTCACTTCCAATGAAGTTAAAGTTCTAGAAGAATTTAGAACTTGTGTAAACGACCTAAGAACTTAGGCAAACAAGCCTGGAGACAGTCAGTAAAGACATTTTTAAAGAAAAGAGAAAAGAAGCCCAACGGAAACAACTGAGCAGATACAGTGCATGGTGAGAGTCTTTAAGGAATGGAAATCTAGTCCTAGAGCATTTCCAGGTTTTTGTTACCTCTCAAGGGAACTAAACTGTGCCGGTAATGCTCCCAATGGCATGGCAGTCTGAGGCGCCTCTTTCTCACTTCCTGGCTTGGTTGCTTTGCTCTGTCATGCTCTGTCCATCTCTTTGAGAAGGTCTCTCTTGCAAGAAAATGTGATTTTGTTCCTCTTCCCAGCTTGCCTTCATGCTCCCCTTCCTCCTCTTTTTTTGTTTTTCTTTATTTTTGTTTTTGTTTGTTTCTTCATAGAAAAAAAAAGTTCCTGGACACAGACCAAGATGGTATTTACAAATTTGGTGTGAACCTGGCCCCTGGTTCTGCCCAGAGCTGAAAAGAGGGTCTGCTACAGAGATCAGAGCTGCCAAGGTATTTATCAAGTACAGTAAAAAATAGCATTTTGGAAAAAAATATATACTTTTAGTATTGCCTTTCTAGGATTAACTATAAGCAAGAAAAATCATCTTATTTATTTATTTTTATAAAAGAAAAGAACACTTTCCCTTCAGTCTGACAGGAGCTGTAGCAGCGTGACTAAAGCTAGTTGCTGGAAAGAAACCAGAAAGGAACTCTAGGAATCCAGAGAAACTCCCCGACTGTTCTTAAAGTCAAACTCCTCCTCTTCTACCTGCATCCCATCCAGGAACTCTCTTTGCACAGACACGCTGAGCCCGCAGCAGCATAGGGAAGACAGAGCGTGACATTCAGCAAAGGACTGTCCTCGCTGTACACAGGGAGGCAGCTGAGGCTGGGTCTGTGAGCTAGTTCTAGAGCCAAGCAGATAGAAGGTCAAGCCCGTTCCTTCTCACCAGCTGGGTGGCCTGGGCAGCTTACGGGCGCTTTAAGCCAGGTGCCTCATCTGTACAGGGACTGACGTGGCTGGTGTCACGGGGCTCACTGAGCAATTCTTAGCCTGTTTGGCACTCAGGGAATGGGAGCGTCATTGAATGACCCATTAGAGATAGGCTGTCACTGTAGTTAGTTAAACGGGGAAACAAATTTTACATCAGTAAAGTCCTGATTAACAAAAAAATAGGTTTAAAAACTTGGGGATTCGGAAATGTAGCATGCTTTTCCTTTCACACATTCCAGTTTCTCAGAGGGACAGCTCTTCCATCTGTCAAACAGGGGTATTGACTTCTTGCCAGGGGTGGGTGGTCGTGATGGGTCTGTGAGAGGATGCTCAGCAAGGCCTTGGCATACTGTGAACACTCAATAACCGTTGGTGAGTCCTCATACAAGGTGTGCATCAGGAGGTCATCTGTGCAGTGCTCTCCTGCACAGGTCTGGGATGTGGGACCCTGAAAGGATTGGGGAAGGGTCTGTGACAAGGAGCCTCAGGCTCTCTTTTCTGGCAACTCTGAGCCAGAAGACCCGGGAAACCTCTCTTCAGTTGGTCACTACAGAGAGCCATAGTGCCAAAGTGTTCATGAGGTTGTTTTTGCAATTATGTATGCCTCATTTCGCCATCTTTGGTTCTTCAGTGGCTTGATGGATTTGACTAAGTACTGCTTGTTGAGACCGGGCAGGTGGACAGATGCTGCCATCTCAAGCCGGTCCTGTGCATCCAGAGCCCGAGAGGCAGCGTGGGTCACCAGGGAAGGGTTGCTTGCTTGTTTGCTAGCTCCCCACAGAAGCATGAGATCAATTAAACACAAATGAACACTGTAGGGGCCTCAGTTACCTAGGAACAGCAGCACTTAGGACCAGACTCCACTCCTCTTTAAAGATGAGTGGTTTTAAAATAAATGCAGTGAGATTAAAAAAAAAAAAAAAGGAGGCAGGATAGGGAGGGGAATAAATGGAATTGCATCACTGAAGCCAGTGTTGCCCAAGGGAACAGGGGATGACATTTGTCCGCTTGTAAAGGTGTCTTTGGCTAAAGAAAGGGACAGTTTTACTTTCCTCTCTAATTTGGTAAGGGCATCTCTGGCCTGCTTAATTTTGAGGCCCCCCACCGAAAACCTGTAAAGCACATAAGAGGGGAAACAGGAATGAGGAGAGAAGCCTGGGAGACTCTGGGGCAATGAGCTGTGGTCCAATGGCTGGCTGGGGGTTGTGTGGTCTCGGGCTGGGCTATGAAGGAGACATTACCTCTCACGGAACTCTCTCTGCTAGCTGAGGGCACCAAGAAATTTTCTTCTGTTTTCTGTCCTAGCAGCTACTTGACAGGCCAGCAAGAGCCATGCACACATCCTACTCTGCCCTCAGCCAGATGATGAGAACCTGGGGGAGGGAGGGACGGAGTAAGGACCCAATCACCCTTACTACCATGAACCACCAGGAGTACTTCCTTAAGCCTCCTCAACATTAATTCCACTCACTACAGTCAGCCAACGCACTCCCCTGCCACACCGTTCAAAAGTGTCTGCATCTCCTAAGAGCTGGTCTAGGGAGGTCCTATCGGCGGTGCTGACCTCCTTTCCTGACCTGCTCCATGCAATGGTTGGTCAGCTTCAATCCTTAGAAGCAAACAGAACAAAGCCAAGTTGGCTTTTATAGTGGAAAACAACCTTGCCACCAGGAAGGAGAGAAACTTGACACTGCCCCCCCCCCTTTTCCTCTGAACCACACCAACCACATCCACTTCACAGGGTTAACTGACATGAACACCAGCCTTGCCTACCCACTGGCCTGCTCATCTGCTTTCCTAAAACATCACTCCGACATACTGACACACAGGCCTGTGTGCCAAGGCCCAGATGGTCAGTAAGAACCCAGCGAGCAGCAGAGTCTGCTGACCTGAGGGTCACGAGGTGCCACAGACCTGTCTCCTTCTCATCTTCCTCAAGCTGAGCAGCGTTTCTTCACTAGAGAAGGCCCAGAGACACATGGTCTACTAAGGACTAAGTGGCCCCCTCCCACTGAGAGCGTACGCAGTACCAAGGACAGCAGCCTTTCTTCCATCTTTGCAAAGGGATGAGGTGCTGAGCACCTCGGGAACTTAGGTGAGGGTGCTGACTGGCTGGGGTCTCGTGTGACTTCTGTACATGGACTTGAGATCAGGGGAGGCGCGGGAGTGGAATGGAGGTTTGCCGAGTGGCTATCTTCTGTTCGGGGAACTTCCTTCACCGGGGGCCTGCTTGTTCTGAGTGACAGTGGGTAATGCACACACACCCATCACCACAATGCACACACTGAAGGGCACAGCTAGAGCCCGGGAAGGAGGTGGCTACAAGTCCCACTGTGCCCTTCACTTGCCAGTGATTTAGGAGTCCTGCAGCATCTGAGCAGCTGCTGCTCTGTCTGCATGGGGCTCTCTTATGTCTCATTCCTTGACTTCGCTCCCTAGAACAGTGAGCTGGGAAGATGTCTGGAAAGAAGCAGACTAGGGAAACAGGAAGGGTGGCAATTGAGCAGGACAGAGTGAGGCAGAAATATCTCACAAGGAGGCACTGGCTGCCCATGACCTTCACTGCACCTAGTGGCTTCTGGGTGGGACCACTGTCTCTGCACTGAAAGAGCTGAGCTGAGTGACGGGAAAACTGAAGGTAAGGAAAGGTCGGGGCAGCTTAGAGAGGGGCCTTTGGAGCTGACCGTCAGATGTGAGGCAGGCTAAGATCTGGTCAGTAGTTCAGACGCGGAGGGAAGCAGAGAGAACGTGGGAGAAACTGCCAAAGGTCCAAAAGACATTGTACCACCAGCGGTTGAGTACCCAGCTGGGCCATGTGAGAAGGACCCAGTATCCGAGTCTCTGCTTTGCAGTAGCCTTCTTTGCAGCTCTCTATGGGACAGAGATGAGAGGAACAATTTTTCCTAATTCCTGAGCCTTCTTTCCTTTTGTCTCCATTCCCTCGGACAAGACTGGACATCTGTATGTCCCTCCTGTCTACTCATATACTCACAGCTATAATAAAACAAATTTACATATTACAAAGAAAACACAAGGATACTTGGAATAAATGTGTACTTCACACCCTGACTAAAATAGCAACAAGGTGATAATGATCATAATTACAGTGGCAATAACACAATAGTCAGTACGGTAAGACTAACTTATGAGCAACAGGGAACATTCATGGTTGGTCTGGAAGGAGAAGGGGAAAGGACAGAACGGGTGGAAGAGCTTCAGTGTCAGCGGACAAGAAAAGATGGAGGGACAAGTCTAGTACGAGAAGGCCCCATGGGAAACTGCTGCCATCTGACTGCTGGAAGCTCCGTGACAGATGGGTTTCCACGCTGGTGAGGCTCTAGGAGCCTCTGGCTCAGGGGTTCTCCAAAGGCTTTGATGCCCACCCCACCTTGAACTGACTTTTCCTGTTGTCTCACTTTCAGCTAAAGCCAGGCTTGGGCTAAAATGGTTCTGACTAGGACAAGGATGCAGCGTCCTCCTGCAGGCCTGTTCCATTCACTGTGCTTCCCGCTAGGCCTTGGCTGGAGTGGGTCAGGCCTCGCCAGGCTCCAGCATCTCTTCCTTTTGGGCAAAGGTGCACTAAGACATATCCAGTTGGGGGACCTTATAAGAATTGATGGGTGGGGAGGTTTCCAGAGTTTTTCACAGCTAAAAGCTAAGTAAGCTTCGTTACTGAAGGAAGGCAGGTCTCATGAGGAAAGTCTTTCACAGTAGATTGCTCAGGGCCTGCAGAGGGAAGACAGGGAGGATACTGGGAAGGCTGGACTGCTGACCACAAACCTTCTACCTGAAGATGTGGATTAGGGGCTAGCTAGGACTCACACCAGGCTCAAACAATCCATACCATGCTACTATGTCCCATCCTGGACCTGACTGTCTCCAACCTCCATGGCTTCAGTTTCCCAGTAGGAGCAGAAAATTCCTACCCACCTCACTGTTCAAAGCCGGAGAAAACATCCAGAATGCAGAGGGTGAAGGGCAGATTTCTTTGAGGCTTAATTGTCCATGGGAGTGTTTTCCCAAATGTCCCTCCAGCCCCTCTGCCTGCGCATCTCTCAAAGGCAGAGGTCCAAGTGGACTGGGAGACCTAGGTTCATTTCAGGAAAGAAGCAACAGCAAATGTAGCAGTGGCGGTCTGCAGGGGAGCCCGACCGCAGTCCCTGGAGCTGGTGGAGAGATACGCAGGTATATCTGAGACTACCAGGCTTCTGTGGGAGGGAGGGACTGGGGAGGGATGCAGAAATGGGAACAGGTCTCCTGCCTCTCCCCAGATGGCTCCAGGAAGCGGGTGGTGGGTCTGGAGGCTGAGGCAGCTGCCTGGCGAAGCCAACATCCTTAAGACCCCCTCCCGTCATGTGTGGCACAGCTAGGGCAGGGTGGGGAGTCTCTCTGGACCTCTGCCCTCAGAGGAAAACTCAGCACAAGAACAGCTGTCGCCAGTGTCCCCCACCTGGCTCTTACATCTCTCCTGAGATCCACGCCTCCCCGCTTTTAGTTATACAAGCTTCTTTGAAATCCTTCTGCTCACAATGAGCCCAGGAAAGACAATCCACGTGACATTAAAACAATACAAAATCAAAAAGACCCAAGTAAAATACTCTTTTAACAGCTTAACAAAAGAGCTGAGAACATATCTGACCTGCCCCAGCCAGTTCTTGGAGTACCAGTGGAAGTAACCCTTCACCGTGTCTGTCTGTCTGTCGGTCGTTAAGGCACTAGGAGGGAATGATGTAAAATCAAGACTGCAAGGGCTGTGACGGCGGTGCCAAGGGACACACGGGGAGGGTGGCAGCCCCGCTCACACCCACACGTGCTCACGCACACTCACTCGTTCACCTAGACCACCACATTGGCTCCTGCCTATGCTAGATCACTTGTTTTGTGCAATTATATTGAGGAATAGTCTATTGGTATCACTGGAGTTGAACACAAGGTAGGAAACGAGGGCGCAGAGTGCTACATTCTACTAGGGTGTCCGTGACGACCTTGCCCTATGCTACACGACTAGGGGTTGATTCGAGATAAAAAGAAAAAATCACAGAAAAGAAAAAAAAATTAAAGACTGCAACACACATTATTATGATATCTGAGGAATAACATTGCTTAGAGATTTATCCAGAATACCCCAAAAGAGGAAACCTGCCCCTCTACTGAGGGTCTTCCATCAGTCTGGCTGACCCCACTGTTCCTGACGAACGAGCCAGAACTGGACTTTGCCAACCCCAGACCAACCCCAAATATGAGCCTCCTCAGGCCACGGCCTGATACTTGAAAGGGGTGCTGACCCTTTTGGAGTTCTGGAAAAATCCCTAATTTTCATGTTCAATTAATTAAAAATCTATTGGATTTCCATTTCAGGTCTCCTTGACAGCAAATTCTTCAATGTCACTTGCTGCCATATGAAAATAATCTTTAAAAAGTTCATAAAGTTCTTCAAAAACTGGGGCCCCTTGCTTCCAGAATCTTCCTGTAGCTCTTCTTTTCCTTTCCAGTTTGGTGCAGAATGGGTTTGTGAGCTGAGTTTTTTCTTTTTTACTCTTTTGTTACTAACATTTTTCTTTTTCTTTTTTCCTTTTTCTTTTTTAAAATAAAAAGCATAGATTTCCCACTCCTTAATCCCTTCCTTTTAAAAGGTTCTCTTCTCTGCTCTAAGTCCTCCCACTTCCTAGTTCAAGTTTCACTTCTGTCCCAACTGTCCCCCCTCCCTGCCCCATTTGCATTGTTTGTGTGCGGCACCTGCAGTATAAAACCCCAGCTCCCCAGGTCTGTTGGGAGCTCCTCCACCCCCTCCCTGCGGGTCCCTCCAGTGTTTATATGTAAGGGTATTGGTTGACCTTGGCAGGACTCAGTGGGTATCCAGTGTAGACGGTGGAGGCTGGCGAGGCGCTGATGTAGGTCTGATGGGCAAACTGGGCTGGATACTGACTGGGGTGGATGGTGGGTGAGGGTAGGACCCGGGGCCCCATGCTCACGGGGACTTGGTGGACGATGCCGGCCGGATAGGCAGTGTGCTGCACAGTGTGGCGTGCTGAACCTTGGGAGGCCACCAGGTGGGCTACGGTGCCGGTGGAGCCTAGGGCTGTGGGCGCGGTATAGGTGTAGAGGTGAGGCTGGGTGGGGAGATGGGCAGCTGCAGCCAGGTGGGGGTGTACAGTGCCATGGCTGGGGCTGTTGTGCGGGAAGGTGTATGGAGCCTGGGCCATAGTCGGAGTGATGTAGGCCTGCTGCCGACGGTGACTCCCAGTGCGGTCTGTAGCCATGTGCTGCTGAGCCTAAGAAGGAAACGTAGCAGAGGGACAGTGTTAGGGGCAGGAGGGGCAGGAGGGGCAGGAGGAGGGACAGGGTGGGAAGCAAGAGTGACAACACATGCTTCCCTTAAAAGCAGAGAACATGCGATGGCGCATGCCTTTAATCCCAGCACTCAGGAGGCAGAGGCAGTCGGATTTCTGTGAGTTTGAGGCCAGCCTGGTCTACAAGAACTAGTTCCAGGACAGGCTCCAAAGCTACAGAGAAACCCTGTCTCAAAAAAAAAAAAAAAAAAAAAAAAAAAAAGCAGAGAATATAAAAATTTGACTGAAATGAGAAAGTGATGTCTGACTGGCCAGTCACCAGACTAAGGTGATACTCAGCCAGTCGGGACCAAAGCCAGTGGGCTGCTCTGCTGAAGTCATCCCTCTCTGAGAAGTGACGGCTTTCCCACAGGCTGTGACATCTCACTCTAAAACTGGGGACTTCCAGAACCAGTCCAAGCAAAGAGCCCTCTCTTCTGCAGAGAACCCAAATCACTGGGGCATGTGTGCAAGTCCTAGGGTACTTTTTCCATGGGTCTGGGGCATTGACTGTGAGGACTCCCTGAAGAGAAGCAACTTCAGGGCTAGTCTGGTGACCCAAAGCAACAGTAGGATACTATGCGTATTCTTTGCTGGGCCCTGCGATCAGCAGGTCAGCTCTGGCACCATGTCACTAAGTTCTCTATCACTTGGCTTTGGGCTGGCTCTCTGTGAACCAGTGTTACCACCTTTCCCAGCATTGGTCTAGCGTAGGAATAAGCTATCAAGGCCATTTAAGGCATTGTGCTGTCGGGGTTTACCTGGCTGAGATTGAGGGGTTGCTGCTGCTGGAAATGGGGGCCTGGTCGCTGCTGCCGGTAGGCGATGGCTCCTGATGAGCTCCCTGAAGAGTGGCCACTAGTGGAGGTCACGGTGCTGGAGGACTTGGACTTGAAGGAGGATGAATGGTGACTGGTGCTGACCGCTGCAGGGGGGGGGGGGGGATCAACAGGTCATAGGTCAGGGGCATGTCCTTGGCTGTCGAGAAGATGCGCTCCCTCCCTGTAAACAGTAGTCTTCCAGGAAGGACATGTTCCTGACACTGCCCAGGCATAAACCACTCAGTCCCCTGACCTAGTCAGGCATTCGTCTTAACTCTGTAGAGGCAGCTGGGCTCTGGCCCTTGGCTGCATGGTGGGTTGGAGCGGCAAACAAGGGAGACAGGAGTAACACAATCAAGGGTAAAGGCACAGGCCCAGCTTGGACTCCGCGCTGGTCCTCTATCTGGGAGGTGTGTGAAAGTTAGGAGGCCTGACTGGCTGGCCCCGGGTTGCTAAGAGGATCAGATGCGATCATGTCCATGGTTGGCCCTAACAAACAGCTAGGGTGAACGCCAGAAGCTCCAATAGCCCTGCAGATCTCCTGACCCAAGGCAGGATGAAACTAGCTCTCCCGGGAATGGCCTGAGAAAAGAATATGGCTGGCGTAACAACTGCTCCTATGTTACTGACAATGTAGAGACTCTGCCCAGCCAGGAGGGAGCTCTGTACTTGGGTCAATGCCGCTGGGGGTGGCAGGAGAGTCTGCATTCTAGCACAGTCTGGGTGTTGATGCCGCTCAGTGGGAAGACCACAGCCTTAGTGGGTAGAAGATTAAGAAAGGCAATACCCATATTAGGTGGCTCTAAATGCCTGATTAAGGGATCCCAGAGCTTTACTGGGTCTGCTGTCTTAACCTAGCCAATATGTCCTAAGCACAATGCTGCCTGCTAGGTACTGTGACCATTTCCCCCCAGGAATAGATGAGGTGAGAATGGTAGTCAGGAGGCATCGCAGAGCATAAAGGCAAGAGGTAGAGGCAGGGAATGCGGGGAGGTGCTAACGGTTGGGCAGGATAGGCCTGAACTGTGCAGCTGGGCGGGGGTGAGACATTCACCCCCAGAGAAAGTAAGAGCAATGCTTCGCAAAGGAGAGCACCTAAACAGATAGGCCATAACCCTCTTCTCACCCCTTTTATTTTTGATAGGGTTTTATTCTGTAGCCCAGGCTGCCCTCAAACTTGTAATTGTCCTGCCTCTGCTTCTTCTGCGCTGGTATTATAGATGTGCATCGCCACGTCTGGCTTGGCTATAGCTTCTTGACTGAACAATACCCAAGAGTCAACAATAGGCAAGCAACAAGCAGACACATAGTCACGAGGAAATACTGCACGTCTCCAGATGCAAAGCTGCACAAGAGCCTGGGCAAACATGGGGCAGGGGGAGAAGGTCCCTGACACTCTGTGTTCTAAGGCCTGCAGGAACAAAAGAAACCTGTGAATTGTGCTACTGGTGTCGTACGGTTTAAAAGCTAGAGTTAACATTTTCACTGTACCCCTTAAGAGCTAAAGAGCAAAGAAGAATTAATTGAGAAGAAAATGACTTTGGTTGGGAGGTTGAAGGACACCCTGCCTCGCACTGCCCCATGCCAACCAAATGCCAATCTAGGCAGTAACGTAATGCCAGTTGGGAGATGGGCTGCACGAGACAGGTGCACATGGGTGGTGTTGATTTTCTTAACAGGCCTGAGGAGGGCTTTGCCCAATGGGAGAGAGAGGTTGCTTTAAGGGAGAAAGGCAACAGACCCCTCATCTCCACTGGTCCAAGGGTATCTTAGCACCTTCACATTGTGTCTTGTGGTTAATGATTCCTCCTTTCACTGAGTTTCTGGAATTGACTAAAATCAGGCCATAGCTCATGCTTAGGACAGATGGTACTACACATTAAGGAACCATGTAAAATAAAAGGTGGGGCCTTTGAGTGACAGGCTGGATCAACTTTTTGACAAATTCCAGGTCAATGAAGTCAGCGTTGTGAACCCCAAGGCAGCCACTGATTTCATCAAAGACACTGGCTCATTTGTCAAAGGATAAAGCGAAACTGGAAACCTCGGGACAGCAGACCGTGGCAGAGGGACCATACTACCTCTCAAGAGACTCCTAGCCTCAAGTAAAGGAAGATCTCCCAGAAAGAAGTTCCTAAATTTGACTGTCCTATCCTCTGCATCAGAGTCCCTAAGGAGGTGCCTGAGACTTGGGATACTGAGCTGAATCCAGAGGCAGCCAGGTGCTAATGGAGCAAATGACATTTAGGACTCAGTGCCCAAGCTAAGTCAGTGAGATTCTCAAAGCCCAGCCCAAACCTGTGTCTCTGAGGACTAGACAAACCAAGCTGCATGCCTTGGCTGTCAGCAGAGCTTCCCTTCTCTCCGGGCATCAGGAGCTTATGTGCTGGAATTGAGTTCCTCCCTGCTGGTGACAGATCATGAGCAGATCTCTGCTCTAGCTCAGCATCTTAGAAACTTTGTAGGGATTATGTTAGAGGGAGCATCAGTTAGTTCAAGGGATCCACAGCTTGGATCTGCTAAATGACAATATTAGACAGAGCCTGGTATCCCACCTGTTACCTTTATTATGGTGACAAGATGGGGGGACTGGGGCAGATTTGGTCAAGCTGTCAGGGTGGAAGAGCCCTGGATGCAGAAAGGACCTGAAGGGGAAGGGGTCAAGAGATTCAGACAGTGATTTCCTTTGCAGAGGTGAATGAGGTGGCAAGGGGTCATCACCATCCTAATGTAGGTTCTGTGGCTGAGGGAACAGATCCTCATTCAATCAGTGTGTGCACACAAATATGCTTAGAGCACAGCCAAGCTTTAGCAACAGATCCCGAGAGGCCAGCTGCACGGCCCTGGGCTAGTCTGAGAGCCTCTGTGTGCTCTTCCAGTTCCTTAGTTTGGAAATCATAGTAGCTGTAGAGCTTTCATGAAGACCAGTTCTATTAGAGTCCTTGTGGGACTCCGGGTGCCATCCCCTTAGTGAGCAGCTCAGCAGCCTCTCGTGGGCCCCACACTGCTTCTCACCCTAGATCACGGACTTTGTAACTAGCATCAACACACAGACTGTGGAACAGTTAGGATACAAAAATGAGCAGCAGTGGCAGGGTGCCAGGCAGATGTACTTAATGAACCTGTCTTCTGAAGAAGGTAGCCAGGGTCATGGAGGCCTGTGAGCACACCAAACATGGGTCACCCCCAGTCAGATGGTGAGGGAGAAAGAAGCCCAAGCCAGTTTCCATTTCCTTTCAGGCAGAGTTCTTGGTGTAAGAAAGGGGGGCTGGTCACAGGCTTGCTGTGTCACTGGGATAGTATTTCAGGCTGGCTATATAAGGAGACTAGAAAAACCCCTAGAGATCTCATCTTGAATTCTACTCTGCACCTTGAGTGGCAGATCTCAGCAGCCTGTATCTTCTCAGCCTGGCAAGTTGTAACCAACAAAGAAGAATCTTCCAGGGTAACCTCAGGTGTTTCCTGTTGCCATGTTGCAGTGATGGACAGACGGTCTCCACCAAGTAACAACAGCTTTAATGTTTAACAAAGCTTAACGGCGTGTCCCTTCCTGACATGAAGATGCTCCCTGGCCTGACAGTGGTCCATGACAGCAGGTGGCAGAAGGACAGGCAGACTCAGGCTTAGCCCCCCAATTCTTCTATGTGAACCCAAGTGAAGGAAATACTGAAGAGATGTTGTTGAGTGAAACCAAAGTGAACCACGGAACTGATTTCGAAGGCTCTGCTCACCAGCTTCCTGCCAGGGCTCGATATTCAGAACAAGTCTTGTGGGATGGTAATTCTTTAAACAAAGCCGAGAGAAATGCACTTAGCTCACATCTCTGTGCCTAAGGAAAAGTCCTACTAAAGGTCCTTGACCCCCATATGGAAGCTCAGAGGAAGTGCTCCCTCCACAGGACACCTGCTCTACCACAGGGCCCCTAAACCAGCTGACAGGAACCTGGGCGCTTTCATTGTTTATTCCTCAACCATAATAGATGCAGAGCCACCATGAGGACAGTCAAGCTTTCAGAAGGTCAAAAGGAAAATATTCTCTATGGGATATGGTGATATTCTATGATACAGACAGGGTCCCACTGTGGCTGCTTGAACAAAACCATGTGTACAATATAGATGATCTGAAATAATTCAGTACTTTCTGTTTCACTAGTACTAGCAATTCTAACAGCAGAAAGCGAGAAAAGCAGGGAATGCTAGGCTTGCTGAGGCCCCAGCTTACCTGGCCCTAGGCTGTCACAGTCTACCAACACTTCACTGGCCTGGGTCTTCAGTGGGGGTACGATGATGGTGCGGGGGTTGCCGGTGCAGTGCTTCTCCAGGCCCCCCTTAGTGTCCAAGGTGTTGGTGCCATTGTGCCCTGTGCGCTGCTGCACCGAGTAGGGGCTGGTGTTGCTGGAGGAGTCAGAGTAGGGAGAATCATGGACTGTGACACAGCTGATGACATTTTTCCTCTGCTTGGAGACCGTGCTGCAAAGTTAAAGGGAGAAGTTAGAACTGTGGCTGGCGTGAGGTGAGACACCCAGCGCCAGAGCACATGGGAAGGCAGGCAGAGCAGGGCTGGGCCTGGCCCTAGGCACGCTGACGCTGAGTGAGACAATCACAGACGGACCTGGGCTGTCCCCATGAGATAAATTCAAGAGTTTGGTGGCAACCCCTAGAACTGGAATTTGTCTGAGCAAGGAAACAACCCGAATGAACCTGGCAGGCAGAGGACCAGCTTGGAAAGGAAATGGCCCTGAGTCTGGGCTCTGGGCCTGTGAGAATCAGCAGAGCGTAAGCAGGAAGGGAAGAGGGGTCCAGCGATCCAGGCAGCTGGTGGAGGGACAGACCGAGTGAGGCTCTGAAGACCGTAGCATCGTCATTCAGAAACTGAGAAACAGAAATTGAGTTGAATTTGGGTGATTGTGTTCAGGCCACCTAGGACCCCTGGGTAGCTAATTTTAGGGATGGCCTGGCCCTCCTGCAGAGTTCCCATACTCTAGGCCAAGGTCAGGAGACAGCACTGTCCTGTGCTGTAAAGGCAAGTCTCCTGTGTGCGAATGCACTAGGGAGTGGATCGCTGGGACTTTAGCTGCCTAGGGTGGCTCTTGGCCAGCACTTGCTTTTCACAGAGCTCTATGCTCCTGTGGCTTCTCTGAGAACCAATTCCATCTGCCTGTGGCTTGGTGAGAGGCTGCTTGGGTGACAGATGTGCAACTTACTGCGTATCAGGCAAGGTTTTAAAAATGGATGTTCATCTATTTTTGTACACTGATCAGTTATTTTTAAGAAATAACAATTGCCTAGACAAGATGGCCACTTTCCAGCTAATCTGATATGAGAAAAGGCTGGTATTTATAGAATCTGATAGGGTTCCCAAAGACCCTCCTACCTCAGGAGTCTTGAATAATGCCACAAACTCAGGACAGGTTTTTTCCAAGATGAGTTTTTATCACTTGAGGGAGAGTAGGGAAGTGGGCAACAAGGCAGAAGGCTAGTAGAAGGTCAACAGGGCTGCAGACCTACAGAGGTTGGACAGGCAGTGGGTGAAGACTCTGGGGGACCTGCCCACTCCTGATACCCAGCACAGTGACGCCAGTGCTGGACCATTCCTCTCGTGGCCTATCCCTATTCTTTCTTTGCTTAGAACAGGAGGTCCCTAGCAGGATTGTGGGTTAGAACATGGGCTTCCAGTCATGTTTAACTTCAGTCTGTGCTGGCGACAGGGCCCTGGGAAGCATCAATCTTAGAGGGATTTAGATGTCTGCACAGCAATGATATGGGTAACAAAAGAACCTATGTCAGGCTGTTCTTGGGACTGGTGAGACAGGAGTACTACATGTAAGTAGTTCATCAGGTCAGCTATTGTTATTATTATATAGGATGAGATTCCCTAGTCCCAAATTATAAATCCTCCCAAATCTAAAAATGTTTGAGTTTTGACATGATATCACAATTGGGAAATCCCATGTCTGATCTGATATGACAGGCTGTGGTCAAAAAGCAGACATAATAAAAATAAAATTTCATTTAGAGGTTATGCACATGGGAAAATTTAAAATCTGAAACATTTTTAATCTCAAATCTTCTTAAAATAATTTTAATTTTTATTTAAAATAGATTTTTTTTTCATATAATATATTTTGATCAGTTTTTCCTCCCCCCAACTTCTTTCAGATCCTCCCTACCCCTTTACCCAACCAAATCCACACCTTTTCTTCCTCTCCCTCATTAGGCAACTAAAAAACAAAACCAAAACCAAACCAACCAAACAAATCTGAATAAAACAAAAAAAGCAGAAAAAAGAGCCAAAACATACACACAAACACACATACACACACAGAAACGCATATAGATACAGAGATATGGCCCCCCCCCTCTAGAAATCCCACAAAAATACAAAATTAAAAACCATAATAAATTAGAAAGACTTGTAAGGTTTAAAAAAAAAAAAAGCCTAGACAAACCACCGAGACAAAAGTCCTCTAGAAATACCGCTGAGTTTGTTTAAAGTTGGCCATCTAGTGCTGGGCATGGATTCTGTCCGTAAGTGTGGTTTATATCCCCAGTGAGACTCCGCTGAGAATTAATTCTTCTTCTGAGTGGTTGTCACTCAGAATTGGAAATAGCTTCTGAGTTTGGGAGGGGGGCTTGTGTCTACTTCCCTTTCGGTGCTGGGGCCCATCTGCTTAGACCTGGGCAGGCCCTGTCTCGAGCCTTTTTAAAGGCTGGTTTCCACTGTGCAGCCCAGACTGCCTCCTGAGTGCGCTCCAAGCCTTGAGGAGAAAGGCTATCCCACGTGTGCTCTCATCGGCTGTGCTACCCGAGATAACACGGGAAAGCAAGCGCTGCACAAAACCTTATCAGGCACAAGGTTATGAGGAAAGGGCTTGCTGAAGAAGTTCTTCTCTAGTCTGTGCTGAGCCAGAAGATTGAGGGGAAAGAAATGACATGTCATTGGTTTGGAATCTTGGAGATCTACACAGTCAGTGCCACAGGGAATAGCTGCACAAAGAAACAGAAACATGCCTCTGTCCTCAAGCAGATGAAAAGCTCAGTGGGAGACCGCATAACAACGTGACGAGTCAAACAGTAAAAGCTTTAAAATAACCAGTTAGAATCAGGGAGTCACAAAGCCGTCATGATTAACTGTCACATGGGTCTTCCAGATGATAACTGTTAAGAACCCAAAGGAAGGCGAGCAATGAACTGGTCACACACATTTGCAGCTCTTCACATTAACAGACAGAACCAGGTGCATTTTAACTAACGAAGACCCCCTTTCCTCACTTGTAATGGTTTAGGTCCACGTGCATTTTAAAAAAGCCCAACACAGAGTTACCATAGCAATTCCAGCCCTAGGCATGTTATCCCAGGACATGGAGATGGGACTCAAACAATGATTCTTAGCTCAATGGCCACAGCAGCGCTGTTCACAACACCCAAGAGAGAACAACGGAAGCACTGGTCAATGCGCGAGCGGATAAACGAAGCCTTGCATACCTATACCATGGAATTCTCGTCAGTCAAAAGGTTGAGCAAAAAGTAAAGTCCTTTTTTTTTTTTAAGTATTTTTCTTGTTCTTAGTTGTGTGTGTGTATGTGTGTGCAGGTACCCATAGAAGGTGTCAGGATGCCCTCAAACGGGGCTTACAGGAGGTTGTGAGCATCCTCATGTAGGTTCTGGGAAGAGAATGTAGGTCCACTGGAGGGCAGTATGTGTTCTTAACTATTCAACCATCTCTCCAACTTGAGTGAAGCCCTGATATGTATTACAACATTGATGAGCTCTGGAAGTATCTCATAAGATAAGCCAGAAACAATTTTTGCATGATTCAACACACAAAATATCTAAAATAGGCAAACTCATACAAAAATGAAATAGATTACGGATAGAGGTCTGCGGGGTAAGTAGAGAAAAATGTCAAATTATTTAATGGGTATAGAATATTGGGCTGGAATGACAGTTTTAGAAATAGATAATGGTGACAGTGTCCCCGAATGATTAAAATGGAAAATTTCATATTTTACCATAATCTAAAAAACAAATGTGCAATCTCCCAGTGAATTGTGTGCAGTGAATGGGTGAATTGTATAGTATATGGGTTTTCTAACTTTAAAAAGCCCATGGGCTTATCCACAGCAAAAAGTTCACAGGACATAGCCTTGGGCCCTCTAGCAGCAGTGCTCAGCAGATCTCAGGGCCACAAGTAACCGAGATCTCTTGCAAGAACTACAAAGTGAGTGCTTGGGAAGAGGTCCCTGTCCCCGGAGAGCTGAGGGGGACAGCGGGACGAGGACCTGCTACTCTTTCCTGTGGTGGGAGTGGCCAATGGAGGCTGCTGGTCCTGAGCAGGACACTGTTGTCCTGTTTTGGGGTCTCCTTCCTACCAGCATAGGTACAAAATGCTCCCACAACCAGGGATGGAACCAAGGATTCTCTCCAGGCAAGTTCCCAAGGGGATGCAGGAGGCATGCTGTTCTGTTCCCAACTTAGGGCTTCGGTCACCATCACTTGTACTTGATTAAATAACCCAAACACAGTTACTTACCATTTCCTGAAATGGGGATATGTTCTGCTGCAGGGGCATGATCTATAGGCGGTGGACTTGTGCAAAGATAGAGGCTGGTTCTCAATGCGTCCCCGCAAAGGACATTCTAGTTCTGTCTGCTGTCCCTTTACAGGTGGACCCTGAGGAACCATGGCCCTGTACCATTCATCAGCTCCAACCCAGTCTGAAATTACTAGGGGAAATGGGAGAGATTATTTGCAGTATGAAAGGGCCCGTTCTGAATATCCCTCAAAGATTTACTATGAAAGACAGTCAAGATAAATCCAGTCCACTGTTCCTGTCAAGAGGAGCCAAATCTCTTCAGTGAGAGGACCTTACACATACGTGCGGTCCTGGTCACTTCTTGCTGAGCCTCCCTTCCTCAGGCCTTCAGTTATTTAGAAAGGGGGCAAGTGAAGCAAATGATACTGACTTTGGCTAATCTCAACTCAAACACAATCCAAATTGTGCCCATTTGGAACCTATACCTCAAGATTTGCAGATTCCAAAGAATCTCCAGCTTAATGCAGCTAAATTCTTTGCAGTCCCTGGAACTTTCTGAAGGCACAGTGAACTACCTCATGAATCAGCACACTGCCACTGAAGGAAGGCTTTCTGGGCAGAGTCCTGTGGGAGCTGGAAGCTTCACGACAGGAATCAGGCGGGCAGCGAGCGGTGCATGTCAGTGTTGTGCTATCCGTGGAGGAGGGGAGAGGAAACCCCCAAACTCCACGTGAGGCCCATCCCTTTGTTTGTATCTGGGAAACCCCATGACTAACAAGCAAAACCACACGGCACAGCATATTGTATCATCTTGGATGAATATATGACAGGTTTGGGAAAGGTGAATTAGTTTGATAGCTCTGTTTCTAATCTTGTCTACTGCTAGAAATGTCTGTGCTCTATGTAAATACACTATCCAGATTAGAGAACAATGGGAAGCTGCTAAATGGCTCACTTGAAAAGCCAAGCACACATCTGAGATTGCCACTGTGAGTTCTTCAGGCTCCTATATGTCCATACAACTAGGATTTATTCTACTGTTGTCTCTAATTATTATTGACAGCTTATCAATCCCATTCTGAGCTGGTTAATGGAAGCGAGAGAGACAGCGATAGGAGGGGAATAAGAAATATTTGCTCAAATGGCCTTGACAGACACCACTTCTGAATAAGAAGCAAAGCAGCAAGAGCTCACGACTGTATTGTGTTGTCATGGCAATAGATGATTTTCATCATTTTAAAATGATGAAAGGAAATAAGGAGCTAAGAAGTATAGAAATGAGCCACAAAGGAGAAAATATAGCCTGAGGATCAGATGCAAGCCTTTGACCTCATCCCTGTAGGATCCACTCTGGAATGTGGTTCTGATTTCTATTTGCTAATCTCAATCAATTTCATCCTTCAAGAGCAAGGTCAAAATCCATCTCCTCCAATAAACTTTCCATGACTCCTTTCTCCCCCCTGACTTCAGAGTAAATGCTATATGTGAAAAAAACAAAAGCAAACCCACTCTCCCATTACAACACTGATGACCAAATGAGGCAACACACACTGGATCTATAACCAAGTACCAAAGTGCTGTATGCGTGTTACTTCTTCAGCCCTCACAGCGCGACTACATGGTAAAGGAACTGCAAACAAGGAGAGCTTGAGTCACTTGCTTGCCCAAGGTCAAAGCATCTGCAGTCTTAATCACTAAGCTACATAGCCCTCTGCCTCCCAGAGAGGTTCCAACACACACTGGAAAGGTAAACTGAGGCAAACTCTCCCACCTGGTTTCCCCAGGACCCATTTGCTAACAGCGGTTTTCTTTGGGCATGGGGAGGTTTGCGTGCAGTTTCCCGGTTGAAGGAAATAAGACAGGAGGGTCCAGCTAGCCTTACTGCTCTGTCTCCATGCCCTCTCTGTCCTAGGGCCTCAACCAGAAATACACAATGGGTTATTTTAACCTGCCCCTAGTGAGAGAAGGATGAGAAGCCAAGGCCTGTGGGCCAAAGTGCTCCCTCTGATGTCACGTAGCTTTTAGTTTAGCTATTAGTATAAAAAAGACACCTTAAATTTGTTTGTTTACTATTTGTATGTGTATTTGTGTATGCATGCCCACTGAAAAGCCTTTATCTCTATCTAAGAAGAAATACCTCATGCCCAAATCTACTGTCCCCAACATTCTGCATCCTCTTGGATAAGCTTTGCTACTGTAAAGCTCCTGTCTGCTCACCTTTGAGGCTCTGCCACACCACTCACCTCACTTAAACCTACAACTCTCTTCCCTCAACTCCCCTGAGTTTGTGGCTGGTTCCTCTAGAGATGCTCCGCTTTGTGTTAGAATGATTTGTACATGTCTCTTCTTGTTTATTACATGAGAGCCTTACAAAAACACTTGGAGTTCCAGACATATATCTAACAATGATGGGACTGGTAAATATTCACTGTGTTAAATTTTATGATAATTATGATTTCCAGAAAAAGGTATCCTAAGTCCCTTTACTTTCTCACTGTTAAATATAGCCACAATTACGTGATCCAATTACACAGTGGTTTCTCTGTGAGTAAGCGCTTTTGGCTGCTGCTTCTTCAGGTAGACTTTCCTATCCTTATGGGTACTGAACCATTTTCTAAGGCAACAATCATTTATCTCTGCAGAAAATATCACTGCTGCGTCTTTCTCTGTAAGCCCTGTTACCATAGTGGGTAGCTGTGGTCCTTTACCATGGCTCTGTGGCTTCAGTCTGCAGCCACTCAACAGAGCGTCTAACGTGTTCTCCCTCCCTGAAGGCTAGCAGCCCCCTCTTTTAGCTACTGTATAAAGTCATGGGGTTCAGTTTGTGGTTGCTCCTGCCCATGTCCCCCGCCATAGGCTGCTGCCCACCTTCGAGCCTCTGAGTCCTTCTCACAAGCTGCACACATTTCAGCTACGTTTCCTCCTAGGGAAAGAGTTCTCTGTTCTACCTGCCCTCCGCGTTAGGCCCTAATGGCCTAATGGCCCTGGCTGCGGAGAGGTAACACTCGTCTTTCCGTCCTTCTACCCTCTAGTCAATCCTCTCCTGGGCCCTCATGTTCGGCGTTGCTGTCAATTCCGATCTCAGCCTTTAAAAATGACATTGTGATCTGGTTGACAGCTAGGTCTTTACATTGCTTTTGCATTTCTCCAGCTGTGCTCAAGGCTGCTCAGCTTTTCTTATGCCAGAGCTACACATGCACAGGCTTCTCAAGCCAGGGGCCAGGCTTGGGTAGGAAGAACCTTCCTCTCTGTAAGGAGACCGAGTCCTTGGAATTCTCAGGTTTGGAAAGACGGAAGACTGAGTCAGTTTGGGGCTACAATCACAAAGGAAAGTGAGGCCCGTCCTGGAATGAGCAGATGGAGTGTAGAGCAATGCTGGAGCACAAAACATGTACCTGGCTCACCACCCCTGTGTCCCTCAGATACCTAGTAAATGGCAGGAACAGAAACACAACAATGTATTATCAAACCACACTAATGATCACACCGAACCATGTTAGTGAAAACTCACACCACTAAACTTCACCTGGAAGGTGGGAGTGTTGCATCCTGTAGGAACTGCTATAGTCAGTCTAGATGGACATTTTGTAATGACTTCAACCATGGAAATTTACTATCTAATCAAAAACATTATGATTAATAATTAGCAGCATTCTGTCCAATCAGCAATGAATAATTTGAGCCTAATTGTGAACAGGAAACTTTGTACCCAGTCATGGGAAGTACAATGGTGACTGAGAGCTCTGGCTTGGGTGGCAGGTTCCCTCCCTGGCCTCGATCCTAATGCAAAGGTAACAGCAGGGTGTGCTTGTGAAACTATGGCCACAGAAGGTTAGCGGACATCCATCGGAGCCACCTGAGCAGGCAGCTCAAGAAGAAGGCACACGTTACTGGGGTTTGGTTGCTAAGTGCAGAAAAGAGGCTCTGGTGCCAGGTTAACAGTCTTGCAAATGCAATAAATATTTCTTCCCTCCACCCAGGAAGCACATACAGAGTAAAATGAACTATGGTTACTTTGGAATAAACAGTAATGCTCTCTGGGTGAAGAGCCAACTGGCAGTTTAAAGAATTGGGTTAGTCAGACACAGGGAAATTTCTGATTAATTGGACAATTACTTCAAATTCTGAGTAAGTCAAGGCAATGTTAGAGAGATATCTTGACCAACTGGGAATAAATTCAATAGCCTGAGGCAACATTTTTTAAGCTTATAAGTGTTAAAATAGACTGAGATTAGGGGCCCAATTTTTATAGACTCATGTTCCCAAATGTTTAGGGACTATAACTATTCTTTAAGGTCAAACTCACTCAAAGTTATTTTGGTTTTGAACAACTATGGCAAACTTGCTTGTCACTCTTATGAAATAATTGTGGATCTAAGAACATGGAAAAATGAGAAGGTGAGGGTCAGCAGGAAATAATCAAGCTTCATGGAGTGGCTCAGCTCCGTACAGCACAGTGCATGCCTCTGCTCTCTCCCCAGAGTCTGCAGGCACAGCCTCACCTGGTGGGGGCGTGTTTCTGCTCTTCCTCCTCATCTGTGTCGCTGCTGATGGTGATGACACTGACGGTGGGGCTGGGGGTGTCAGGGATGACAATCGTCTGTCGCTGTCGCTCCCTTGTGGTGCTGGAGGCCACATCACCCCACCCACAGGTGACTGAGGTGCTGCAGGCTGGGCTGTTGTGCACCATGGCACACCGTGGGGGAGTGTTCTCCTTGACACGCTTGGATCGCTGAGGGGAGCTGGTAGCTTGTGAAGAGGTCACCTCACAGGTGGAGACATTTCTGTAACGACAAAATAACACATGCTTACAGAGACAACTCAGGCCCTGTATCTCCATCCAAGTGGGTCCAACTTTCATCAAACACCAGACTTACCAAATCTCCACAGAAAAAGTCTGAGTCCCAGACCAATTGGCCCCCATCTGTACAGAACATGTGGTGCCTCTCTCTAGAGTCAGTCACCAAGGGACCTCAACAGGGCCTTCTCTGGGCTCTTGTCTTGAGAGCTGGTTTTCTAGGGGCAGTTGTCCTGATTTTAGCTACCTCATCCAACATGGCTGCATAAGATAACCTTCAGGATTAACGCAGCTTTTGGCTTCATCTAATCCTCTCTCAGTGGTTCATGATTCTTGTTTTAGGAGCGATGAAAAAAATGGTGTTTGCCACACAAGGTTGTGGTTTCCTTGCTGACGGCTGATTTATTATTTAACTGCCCACCCCCGTCCCCTGCCCATGCTGGGAACTGAACCCAGGTTCTCACAGATGCTTTAGCTAAAGGACACAGTCTCGGCTGTGGGTGTGTGTAAGTGTGTACACCAGGTCAGTCTCAGGGCATGTTCCTCAGGAGCTTTCCAGCTTGTTTGGAGACAAGGCCTCCGCCTGACCAGAACTCACCAATTTAGTGGTTGCCTAAGTTCCTGAGGACTGGCCTGTCTCTGACCTCTTCCCCCAGCACTTGGATTACAGGTTACACTGCCATGATCAGCCTTTTTATGCAGGGTTTAGGGACTAAACTTAGGTCTTGGTGCTTGTGTGGCAAGTATTTACAGATGGAATGATCTCCCAGCCCCTTGGCTCGCCTTGCCCTTCTTTCTCTTCTGGGAAAAGCTATGGTTATTCAGATTTGTGTACAATGGAAAACAAAACCCTTTTGGATTTTGACCTGAGCCTCATGGGAGGCTTATTAATTAATTTTAATTGTAATAAAAAACTCGGAATAAATGAAAGAGGAAGAAGGTATGCTTTAATAGGCACTTTAAAAAATTATGGATAAGCCAAATTCAACTACTGTAATATACTTCTAAGTCTTTTAAAATTATTTATTAGTTTTACATTTATTTATTAATTCATGTGAACGAGTGTTTTTCCTGCATGTATGTATATGTATGCTGATGCCCTAGGAGGTCAGGGTATCAGATCCCCAGGGACTGGAGTTACAGATGGTTGTGAGCTGCCACGGGAGCTCTGGGACTCAACCCTGAGTGCTCTAGAACAGTCAGTGCTCTCAATTGGTGAGCCTTCTCTCTAGCCCACCAAAAGGGCCTTTTAATTTAGATTGATTGATTCTATATTAGTTCTGGTAACTTTAGGGAACAATTACCTTTTTTTCTTCCTATCAAATCCTTTGTTGATCCTTTTAGAATCTATGCAGTGAAGACCAAAGTCAAAAGAGAATAAATCTTTGAGCCTACTATGTCCTTAGAGAGTCTAGTACCTCTAAGTGAAGAGAGAGAAATAAGATGAAAATAGTTTAATAAAGGAGAACTTGATTTTGTCCATAGCTGGCTTCAGCTGCATTTGTAAAGTCCTCTCTGGAGCAGGTAGTACGGCCTTCTGGCTGACTGCTCCTTTTACTCTGTTATGTGTGCTATAGCTTGTACGGTTTCAGCACTTACAGTATGTCGACTGGCATTGCTACAGGAAAAAGCATGTCTGCCGCATTACGACACAGGGAGGGCCGTCTGTGTAGTTTCTCACAGTTTTGCTGTAGACTGATCTTCCAGCACTCAGGAGGCAGAGGCAGGTGGATATCTGTAAATCTGAAGCCAGGACTCATCTACATAGTGAGTTCTAGGCCAGTCAGAGTTTCAAAGTGAGACACTATCTCATAAACCATAATAACAAACACTTGAGGAGACGATTTGCAACTATTTGGATTCTGACCTGCATAAGCACTGTGTTCACCTGAAAAAGCTGGGTGGTGAGAAGACAGGGAAGGATTTGCTGAATTGGTTGTAGGGCCAAGGGTCCTGACAAGGTGGTCACAAGAATGCTAAGCTCAGTTCTGTGTGATCAGTATTCTAGTACGGCACCTGTCCTAGTCTGATGGAGCATAGAGACCAAAGCAGTGGTTTCTGTTGCCTCTGATGACATTGGCATGCTGTCATAGAGCTGCCACACAAAAGCATTCTGCGGAGCTACCACTGATATAAGCAGAATTTCCTTGTGTTATCAGAAATACCCTAACAATGGATTATGAAGAAGGATACCAGCTAGAGGGAAGTCAGTCCTTGAATTAATTTTTGAATAAGAATGAAGGAGACAGATCTAGCTTCTGGCACCTGGCTATATGAGGAGGAGGAAGAAGAGACAGAAGATGAAGAAGAAGGAGGAGGAAGAGAAGGAGGAGGAGGAGAAGGGAGGAAGAGAGGGAAAGAGGGAGAGAGGGAGGGGGGGAGAGAGAAAATTCACTAATATGATGGGTAGACTTGACACACCAGCAAAGAGAAACCTCAGAAAAACTGTGTCCATCAGATTGGCCTGCGGCATGCTTGTGGTGAATTTTTCTTAACTGTTAATTGATTTAAGAAGGCCCAGCTCAGTGTGGGTGCTACCATCCCTGTGCACTGTATAAGAAAGGTAGTTAAGCATGAATTTGGGAGCAAGTCAGCAAGCAGTGCCCATCCATAGCTCTACTTTTAGCTCCAGCCTTACCTTTCCTGGATGATGGGCTATAACCTGTAAGATGAAATAAACTCTTTCCTTCCCAAGTTGTTTTTGTCCCGAGTTTTTATTACAGAAACAGAAAGGCAAATTAGAACAACTAGATTTTTTTTCTGTCACCAATTTGTTTTGCTCAATCCATCCCAAATGAACAAAGATGGGCATCTAAACCATGGGACACTGTGGGAGCAATTCTGCGTTTGCATGACCTAAATCTACTTGACCAGCTATAGGTGGTGGGCTTTGCTCTTGCTGTTTGTTTTTAGAGTGGAGCCTAGAAACCTCTGTTTAAAAGTCAGGCTTATTGAACTCTATAGCTGATACTATATACACTAACACTCTTTCTGAAGTCTTTGATGAGTTACTGACTAATCTATAGTTACAAACCACACCTACAACCCAGATGTGGAACTTCTTTTACTACCTTCCCTTCAGGCTCCTTCCCAAGAACTCCCTTCTCCATGGCCCAGCCCCTGGTACTGCTGATTTATCTGCGTTTGCCTTCAACACAGTGACATAAACACAGCCTTGTGTCAGTGCTGAAGGGGTACAAGTTTAGAGGAATGGGAAGGAGTAGCCATCCACTGCTAAGCATCTGGGAGTCACCAAAGTTATATTTAAGCCATCAGCCAAATGTGTTCATGTGGGAGGCATTCTGTAGTTTCATGATCTAGATCTAACTTGTTAGCTAAACAGCTTATTTTTAAGTTATGAGTTATATTTCTGACCTTAAATCTCAATGAAAGTGCATTTCTCTAATGTTTTTGAAAAAGATATCTTGGTAATTTGTACTCAAATGGAAACTCAGAGGCTTGTTGTTTCTAGAAAAGATGACAGAGATTGTGTGGCCAACTTCAGTTAGACTTTGAACCTCCTCATAGGCTCAGCTGTGCCCTTCTGATAGTCTAGTTTCAGCTAAGAGCCTTGCTAGTTCATTTCAACCAGAGGCCCTCCTCATTCTCTTGATATATGATCAGATTCCTCATCCTCCGCTGTCCCTTGGATGACAGCTAATCACCATCACAGAATCCTGTTAGAGGATCTAACTCTGATGCATGAACTGACTCTGTGGAGCCCATTCTCTATGGAGGGATACCTTGCTCAGCTTAGGCTCGGATGGGGGTGGGGTGGGAGAGGGCCTTGGTCTAAACTCAATGAGGTGTTGGGACAGACTTAGTTACTTCCCAGGGGAGGCCCTTAACCTCTCTGGGGAATGAATGGGGGGTGGGGTGGGGGTGGGGTAAGGTGGGAGAGTGGGAGGAGAGGAGGGAGGGGGAACGGATTGGTATAAAAAAATTAAATAAATTAAAAAAAACGAGAGAGAATCTTGTTAGGATGATTACGCCACAATCTTCCAATTTCTGTTGTCTCCTAAACATTGTTTCCCCTACATGATCTAGACACTACCTCCTTGCCCATGCTAAGTGCAGAGCTGAGCCCTCTTCTTCCTCCACTGCAGCGTCTGGACCCATGGTCTCAAATGAAGTCTTCCTTGCTGTGATTTACTACTTGTTCTTTAAGAAAGGACTGAAGCACTCCAGACATCAGGCACACCATGGCTTCAGGCCTCCACCATGGAGAGTCAGGGGGACAGAAACCAGGGAGAGTCAAGAGGCAGGGTTGCATGTGCACAGAGCCCACTCTGTGCAGGCTCTGGAATGTTCTGTGGACTGTAAGGTGTTTCCCCAGCTCTTGTAGGAAGAGCTGCTCTCTACCCGTGCCAGGGTAGTGACCAGCAATCCCCACTTCTGAGCAGTGTTTAGCATTTCAATCTTCTGGTGTTCTGGCCACCAAGGCTCTTGGCACCTACCTCACGGATGACTGGTGCTGCTTACTCTTCCTGGAGGAGGTGGTGCTGGTTGGTTGTTGCCTCATCACATGAGCTACACCCACATTTAAGGGCTGGGCTGCTGGAAGGGTCACATGTCCAGTCAAGAGTGTAGGTTGCTGCATGATGGGATTGTAATGGCTTCCATGAGCATGTGTATTCCTGAAAGAGAAAAGGGAGCAGAAGGCCACTTAGTGGTTTTTCAGAAGCTGCGCTCTTTTAATGAGATGAAGCGTCTTCCCAGAGAAAAGCTCTCTCTCACTGAAGAGATGAGCCTTGCCAGGTGAGTTGGCACGTGGGCTTCCCAGAACTGCAGAGTGGGAGTCCTGTGCTGAGGAAGTAGAAATCAAGCTGGTTGATGAGAAGCAGGCCTTCCAAGGGGAAAGAATGTTGAGTTCTAGAGAGATGGGATGGACAGCCCTCCAGCCTTTAGAGTCCCTGGACAGGTGACTATGCATTAATATGCCCATTTCATTTCAGAATTTACATAGCAACCTAAATGGGTTCTTTTCTTCTGCTTTGTGAGGTAGGTAGGATGTTTTAGAAATACTATTTTATTAATGAGGAAATTGTAGTTAATGTGAAAAACAAACTGGTGACTGGGAGCCATATGTTTCTGGCATTAGGAATCATTAACGTTCTTTTGAATTCCCTCAGTAGCTAACACAATGCTCAGGCATGTAGCAGCTGATCAGTTAATTACACGCTTGCTGAATGAACAATTAGATTAACTGAAGGGTGACTAGACATGTATAGAGTTTGTATTAAATCAAAATTAATAACAGCTATACACATGCAGAGAGAAATAGGCTGGCAGCCTGCGTCCTGGAAATAGGTGACATTTTAGTCTTCCCATCTAGGCTGGATGGTGTTTGAAGCCTTGTTTTCCAACAGAAACATTTAAGGTGATGATTAATTCGAAGATTTGTCCATAAAAGCACATTTAACACACAATAAAATTAAAAGCTAAAGAATTCATTCAAACTTGAAAAAGATATAAATTCCATCTTTGTAACTTGAAGGGATAAACAAGAGAAAGAAAGATGAGCACTTTATAGTGAATCTGATAGTCTTGTAGACACGTGCACAGCCTTTGGAAGTGCTGTGGTGGCCTCTCCCTGCTGCTGACTCCCCCACAGACAGGCAGGCCCTTTCTCTTGGAGACAAGGGCAGCACTGGCGCTCCTCTTTTGTCTTCTGGTCGTGGTTATGGCTGCTCTTTTGACCCAAAGTGAAATGCAGAGACTGGGGGATACCAACTAAGAGATGGACGAGAGGTGGAAGAAGGCAGGATAAGAAAGTATGCATGAATAAGTGAATGAATATTGCTGAGATTGAGCTCTAACTGCTGAAGGACAAAGGAAAATATGATGTGGTGGTGGTAGTGTCTTTCAGGAGAATGAGGGGGAGGGGAACACAACCGTAGGTCACATAGCTTTCCACTTGGCTGCTACTCCTAATGAGCTTGAAGAAAGGCAATCCCGCCTCCTGTGAGCTGTCGTGAATGGGTGAAGGGAAGATGCCAAGCCTATTCATTCTGTTATGTTCAGGCACCACTGCACTGAATGGTAAAGACAGCCAAGTGCTTTGTGTTCGCCCCTCTACCCCTCAACCCTGTGAGGTAAACATCATGACCCCATTTTATTGAAAAGGAAACTGAGGCCATAAAAGTTAAATAACCCGCCCTAGTTCTTGCAGAGCCAGAAGAGAAACCAGTTTTGCCTGGTTTGAAAGTCCTTCCACTGAGTGCAGACTGCAGCCATGGGATGGCCCATGTTCTCTCCCCGTTAGTAGTCAGAAAGTAGTTTACATGGAGAAGGAGAAAGCTACAGCAGACATGAGTCAGGGGACATATTAGCCTCCTGCCTACCTTTTCCTGAGAGTTACTTACTTATTCAGACAGAGTTTCACTATGAAACTCAGGCTGGCCTCAAACTTGTGATTCTTCTGCCTTAGCCTGTGTGCCAAGACTTCAAATATATACTACCATTCAACTCAAGAATTCTATGCTCAGAAAAGGAACTAGGGAGACCCTCAGGATGGTAATACAGCTACCACAGGATAGCAGGGAATAATTTCTGCAGGAGGAACAGCCCAAAGGGGCCATAGAGCTGGGGACAATTTGAAGGCTGTCATACGGCTCTGTACTGGTCAAGCAGGGCATTGTGGTGGTGTGCGATGAGGGCCAGAGGAAAGTGACAAGTGCTTATGAGAACAGCGGAGCAGGGTGTCCACGAGGGTGTCAGTGAGCTGCATGGGCAGCTTTGGAAACAGATGCAGGGTGCTGGCAGGCAGCGGCTTGAGTCCCTGGGGTCTGTGGAAGGGGAACTCTTCTCCAAAAGACACGCTGATAACGGAAGACGCACATTTAACAAACACGCTAGAGCTTATCCTTCCAAATACAACTCATCTGTCAAATTTTCCCTGGGGAGCTCAGACAGACAGGCACCTATGTCTCAAAACTTCATGAGAACACTTTTGAGAATTGCTTAGGGCTTTGGGGACTCTCTTCTGTATTCCTTCACTGGTGACAAATGTTTGCTTTCTGAAAGGATCTTAATTCTGAGAAAACCCAGCCAGGTCTGGTTTAAAAGATGTAACTGAGTTTTGGTAGAACGTGCTAGCTAACTATAAATCAATCGAGCTGAATGTCTGGGCTCCTGGTATACTGTTTAAACCACCACCCATTACACTGTGGCCGTAGCCCACATGATATTTTCTGCCAGAGGTGGACACAACTCTTATTCCAATAACACTGCTCACCTCCAGTCGGCCAGTGGCTGAGTGCCTGCCATGGTCTCAGGAATCACAGCTGCATGCTGCACGGACGTGTGGGTGGCCACGCCAGTCAGCTGCTGCCAGGCTGGAGGAAGCAGGATCTGTTGGGCCCCACCTGGCCAGGCCTGCTGTAAGACAGGACAGTCACAATCACCACATTTTGTTAGTCACCTAGCTGATTTGCACAAGTCCAGAACTTAATCTGTGTGTGAATCTTGTAATGGATGAAAGTGTAGACTAGTTGTTGGCTTCGAAATACCAAGGAAGAGCTGGAGAGATGGCTCAGAGACCACTTATCGTCCCATAAATTCTTTTTTTAAAATTTATTTATTTATTATGTATACAATATTCTGTCTGCATGCAGGCCAGAAGAGGGCACCAGACCCCATTACAGATGGTTGTGAGCCACCATGTGGTTGCTGGGAATTGAACTCAGGACCTTTGGAAGAGCAGGCAATGCTCTTAACCGCTAAGCCATCTCTCCAGCCCCATCCCATAAATTCTTAATGTCAGCTGACAAAATGAAAGAAATGATTCTATGAGTTTATTAATTATAGCTAACTATTTCAAGTCCACTGAGTTCACAGAGGAGAAATAAAAGTTAACTAGTAAAACCATTATAAATTCAAAATATTTAAGAAGCCATGTGTAGTGGTGCACACCTTTAGTCCCAGGACTCAAGAGGCAGAAACAGCTGAATCTCTGTGAGTTCAAGGCCAGCTTGGACTACATAGCAAGTTCTAGCCCAGCCAGGGTTCATGTTTAAACTCTGTATTAGAAAACAAAACAAAACAAAAACCAGTTTCAATGTCAGGATTTCTACTGCTTAGTGGTCTGGAACTCATTTCCAATTCCATGAAAAACACGAGCTTTGACTAATATCATTAGAAATGTATCTTGATATCTTGATAAGGTCATCTTTTTTTCTCCCCTATTTCCTTAAATTTTACCTCAAAGCCTTAAGGGAAAAGGCAATTTTTTTCTTAACCTTTTTCATTGGCTGTGAAAATGATGCTTACAAATACAACCAGCTCATTTAGATGACATTACATCACGTACCTATAACTTACTATGACTATTACAAAGAAAAGATCTAATATTTCTTTTAAGAATTATTACTATTATTGTGTGTCTATGACATGAGAGTGCATACATGCATTCGGAGGTTCTGGAGACAACCTTTGGGAGTCAGTTCTTGGTTTTCTCCTCCTATTTTGCGATTCAGGACTTGAATTTGGTCATCAGGCCTTCAAGGCAAGCACTTTTAACTGCTGAGCTCTATTGCTGTCCCCTCTTCTTTTTTGAGACAGGATCTTGCTATGCATCCCATCAGCACCTGAGCTCAGGACCCTCCTTGTCTCAGTCTTCCAAGTGCGGGAATTATGGACACACACCACTGTGCCTGGCTGGAGCTATTATTTCTTGATCTGTACTGTGTGCCAGTGTTTAGTCATAAATGGATATTTGAACTTAATATTAGTCTTATGAGGTAAAAACTACTATTTATTTCCTTCTCTTAGGTGAATAAACTAGACTGCGAGGTTAAATGACTTGCTTAGAAAATATGGCAAATTATTTCTTCTTTTCTCTGAACCCAACATGACAGGGAAGAAATAAAATATATAGATCCATAGACGCAAGGAGACTGGAGGACAGATAATAACAGTTAAGACTGTAGAGGTGTAACAACACATGGCCAATTGCCAAGAAAGTTAGCATACTGAATTATTCTAAGGTAAATCTGCATGTGAAGCTTGGCTAGATTCCTGCTGCAGGTGTCTGCGGTCCAGACATTGCAGGGAAAAGAGCTACAGGTATGACTTGAGGGTAAGGGTCTGCCAGTGGAAATGCTGGGCTTGCTTTTATCGCTCCGCAGGGAAGGCCACACTGAGCAGTCCATCCTTGGTCAGCTTTCTCAGCGTTCAATGTTTCCGTCTCGGCCACGCACGGACAGCTAAGGCAGCCTTTAGAAAGCATCTAACGTGAAGCCATCATGGCCAAAATAAAATGGAACTCACATGAAACAAAGGCAATGTAGGAAACAGAAAAAAATTCCAAAGGTCTATAATTGTTTATAATTAATATCCTCAGAGTTTAAAAAATGTGCATCTTTCTTCATATAGATATGCATGTATGGAGCAAGATGAGGTGCTCCCAACAACGAGAAAAATGGCAACAGAAACAGAGAAGTCAAAAAAATTCAAACAAATGAAATTCCTCAGAAAAGACCCCCCCCCCTCGCATACACATACACCACACCCACACCACACCCACCACACACTCCCACACCCCATACACACCCCCATAACACACCACACACAACACACACACCACACCCCCCCCCCCCCCCCCCCCCCNCCCCCCACCACACCTATACCACACCCCCCCCACACCCCACTCCTACATACCACACCACACACACACCAAACACCCACACCACACACTCCCACATACCACACTCACTACACACACCACACCACACCACACACCACGCACCCACACACCACACCACACACACCACACACTCCCACATACCACACCCCCCCATACACACCACACTACACTACACACATGCACACACACACGAAGGAAAGAGAAGACACACTAAAAGATCTATTTAGAAGTATAAACATCCAGGCTGGCAAGAAAGGTGGCTCAGTGGGTGAAGTGTTTCCCTTAAAGTGTGAGGACCAGAGTTTGGGTACCCAGCATCCATGTGAATGCCAGGCAGGAGTGGTGGCCCATATGCAATCCCTGTGCTTGGGAGGCGAAGATAGGATTTGTCCAGCAAACTATAAAGCTAGACTACACTGGTCAGAGAGGTCTAATTCACATGAGAGACCCTTCCTCAATATATAATAGAATCCAGGACCAACTGGCCAAGGGTAGCAGTATCCACAATGGGCTGGGCTCTTCCCCATCAATCATTAACTAAAAAAACGTCCTACAGGCTTGCCTACAGCCTGATTTTAGGGAGGAATTTTCTGTTCCTTCCTCTCAGATGACTCTAGTTTGTATCAACTTGACATAAAACTAGCCAGTACTTATGTGTCCACCCATCACTAATATATATGGATCAACACACCCACACATCATACACACACAAAAATAGAAGTACCAACATCTATGTAATAAGAATTTTGCAAAGAGGAAACAGAAAATATTGTTAAAGAAGAAACAACAACAAGAACAAAACTCAGAGTCAAGGCGAATAGGGAAGTCCAGGACAAAGCATGGGAAAACAGGAAAGCACGAAGTTGTAAGTCTTGAGACCTCTGTGGACAATGACTGTATAAAAGGTTTCATAGAGACAAATAATACACTGAACTCAGTATGTTCAACCTAAACACGTCAAACACAGAAACCTCTTGCAGCTCTAGAATGATCTGAGACTCAACAATAAGGTAACCCAGTGGGAAAATGAGAGCCATACAAGGAAGGAGATGTGGTGTATTATGAAGCCCATCAAGGGCGATGTTTTAAGATCGATAACTATACAAACAGTATGAAGTAGCTGAATCACAAATTATTTTGGAAGAATGGCAGAATGAAAGAATGAGGAAGAGAGACTGATGGCAGCAGGAGGGTTGGAGGGCTAAGGTTTTATTATACAAATGGGAAGTCAGCTTAGAATAAAATCTAGAAGAATCAAATGAAAAACACTATAGAAATGTTACTTATATAGATTTACATAATGAATGGTCAAGTTAAAGGTTGTTTTGGGTTAGGAGAAATTAAAGGTGGGATAGAGAAAGGACTATATTTTCTTTTAGTAAAATGTGTGCTGTCATATAAGTTAAAAAATTATGTACTTGTATTATTTTGAAAAAGGATGAAATTTCAATGTCAAAACTCACATCCTCAAAGACAGCCAGCAAGTGGTGCACCGGGTGTGTGCACACAGATGACCTAATTCCCATGATCTCAGTCAGTACCTAAACGTACTCTATGGAGAACACAAACACAATGGCCTTATTTGGAATCTGGTGTGGGTGTTACCTCCACGAAGGTGGCATGAACAAACCTACTTATCTGTTAGCAGCTTCAGTGCCAAGTGAGGTAGACGTAGATAGCAAGACAATTGCTGCAAAGACTGACTGTTGAAAATGCCACCATTTAGAGTGAGAAGCGCTGGGTTTCAGTAGAGTGGATAGTTTATAAAGAAGTCACCTGTCCTCAGGGAAATACAGGGACCTTGGCCATATGACTCAATTGGCCAAGAAGACAAAAAACTCCTCATGGAAAGTGGAGTCTAGAAGGATCTGTCATTTCTGAATTTCTGACTTGCTCTTGTTAGTGAGAAGGAGTTCTGGATCCTGCTCCTTGAAGAAAGGACTGAGTATAATGTGACCTCAGGCAGCTGTACCACCGTCTTTCCACTTTGACCTGCTCCCTCACAGTTTCTCTAGTAGCCAGCATGCTGACTATGGCTCTAATCTTGGGAGGGGAGGCCACAGACCTTTCAGGAAGTGTCAAGAGTTTCTTAATAAAGGGTTTCTGTAAAGGTCACTCCTGTGTTGCTAGCTGTGCATGTTTTAAATAAGAAATGTGCCTTCGAAGTCTTTGCATGTGGACACACAGGTCTCCTATATCCGTGTTAGCAGGCATGTGCTGTCCCAGTCTACACACCTGTAGAGTCAACAGATCCCTGGGTGAGGAATACTCAAGTTGCTTCTAATAGTTCCTTTTATAAACACTATATTAAAGTATCATATAACAATTAAAATGCTATACACATATATTTTTTGCTGTTGTCCACTTTTCCAATCACAGATTTAGGTTAAACCAATGTGAAGCTTTACAACACTAGGCTCTTTTCATGAGAGCAGAGGGCAGGACTCTTCCCCACTCTGATTAAAGGACTGGGACGAATTCAGAAATGCTGAGCCTGTTGGTTCTACTCCACTGAACGATGAGGAATGCCCCTGTTAGCTAGCAAGCCATGCTTAGTATTTCTAACAGAGCTCACTACTAGTGTATTTGGATTCAGTGTGCAAATACAAAAAAGGGTCTGTAATTACTTTGGAAAGTACACAGGGAAATCTACAGATTCTGGGCTCACTGGGAGGCTGGTTTGGGCTTCTGACACTCAGATAAAGGGTGAACAAATGTCTTGGCCTGAGCTGATCTTTATGTAGCTCTTCTTTGATTTATAGTGGCCTTTTTTGAACTCCTCACCAAAGAACTATGCAACAACAACAATAAAGGAAGTTAAAAGGACTGTAAAGAGGAAGGGACAAGCCCATTTTAAACACTGGTCCTCTGTTAACACCCTTTCGACAAGGCAAGCACAGCTTTGTGTGTCACCAATCGATGGGGCTGGCTGTCACTTAAGCAGTGTTAGTTTAGATTAAGAATAAAGAGATGCAAAGGTGGTTAGTATCAATCTTAACCATTCCAGAACACAGAAGAGGTGGCAATATCCAAGTTTGTAGGGGACTGTTTGTAGCCACTGTGAATTCAAATTAGATAAGGGTTCCTTAAGAAAGGGAAATCATGTGTCATTTCTCATTCATGAACACTGACTCAAAAATACTAATCACAGTAGTTGCAAACAGCTCAAAAAGCATGTCATCATATCAAGCACAACATGATCAGAGTTTATCTCATAAATATAAGGGTGATTTAACACTACAAAATCTATTAATGTAACTTGCTACATAAACAGATTAGGGAACAAAATTATATGGTTATCCAAATAGATGAGAAAGTATATTTGACATATACAAAATTTATTTAAAAATTGACCTATCTCAGAAAAAAAAAACAAAAAAATTAAAACATGACAAACTATCTCCATTAAATAGTTAGAAGAAATACAATGCCTAGTAGGAAATAGCTACAACAATTTCCCTGATTTCACCTGTTATTAAACATGATTTACTGCTCTATTCAGCCCAGGATATTTGAGCAATAGGAAAAAGTGCAAGGATTGAAGAGCAAGAAACAAAACTATTATCTGCAACCAAAAGGAATTCATAAAAACAGAAGGCTAGCTTGATGACCCAAATCAGTTCTATTCCTATAGACTGAAAGCAAATGAGTACAAGTATAACTAATAAAATCAACAGCAACAAAACTGTAAAATATTTATTATTTATTTTTATGTATATGACTGTTTTGCCTGCATGCATTTCTGTGCACTATGTGTGTATCTTGTGCCCGCAGAAGCCATAAGAGGGAGTCACAAGATCCCCTAGAACTAGAGTTATAGAGGGTTGTGAGCCACCATGTGGGTGCTGGTTTTTGAGCCCAGGGCCTCTGGAGGAGCAGCCAGTGCTCTAACTGCTGAGCTATCTTTCTTACCTGATAGTTAGTTGCTTGTTGTTGTTGTTTTGTTACCAACATTCTTATGTAGAAATGATGGTGAAGTGGGTATGGAAAAGAAAAGAACCAGAACTAGAAAAGACCAGGGCATTCCCTACCAGATATCAAGACACAGATGTTATGATGAAGACTGGATATTTAGAGGCCAATGGACTACAAGAGAGCCAAGAACAGACCTATGCAATCGACTATCTATAAACTATTTTCTACATAGAAATCACTTCTATAAACAAACCGTTTAGGAAGCTACCTTATTTAAAAGTAAAGTTGACACTAACAGGTCAAGGCATCCTAGATAGGAAGTGGTCTAAGACAGTAGGAAAATACGGACATTCGGGTCATGTCTAGTCATGTCTAGAGTGTGTCCTGGTTCTGACATCTTGCTGTTGTGTAATGCTTTTGTTCTGAGACAGGGTCTCACTGTGTAGTGTAGGATGGCCTAGACTCACGATGTAGTCTAGCATGGCCTTGAACTCACAATTCTCCTGCCTCAGCCCGCGGAGTACTGGTAGGACAGACTTTGTGCCACCCTGCCTAGCTGCTGTATGGCTCTGAGCAAATCCCTGTTTCAGTTTCCTTACTTGTCCCAAGTAGAGATAGGTATCTTTCTGTATTGTGGGATTAAAGAAATTAACTGTAAAGTGCGTGGCATTAAAAACAGTACAATTGTATCAGAGTTCGAGTGTCTTTCAGGACTGACTTCTGGTATTGCACCAGCACTGTTACTATAAACTCGTTACATATTTCCCATCATTTTTCATCTTTGTGATCTCATTCCACAGTTAGAACACCTTTATGGATTGAAAGGAAGGTTCCAGTCCATAGCTTCTGCAAGTCGCCTTTTTTTTTCAGCTCTAAAAATGAAGGGATAATCTCCAGGGCTTTGGCTATAAGAACTACTTCTATTTTACAAGAAAGAAATTGGAGGCAAAGAGATGTTAACTGACTTGCCTTAGGTCACTGAGAATTACTAGCAGATTTAGGATTAAAACCCAGGTCTCCTCGATGATTTGCTTTGCAAAGGTAAAATACTAATTTCCCTAGACTCTCTGTATCTAAATCTCTTCTTGGAATTGTCACTAGATACTTAGGGAGGTAATTCACTCAGGGATCATTTAGAATATTACTGACATATTCCACTGCCTGGGAGCTCCTACCTCATTACCAGGGAGGGAGTCAGTAGAGATACATGTCTTTTGGAAAAGCATTGACATGGACAATGGGAATATGAGCAATACAGAAGAGAATTACCTGAGCAAGCAGACCTGGTTGAATCTGAAGAGGCTGAGCTCCTGGAGCTTGAGTGACGATGGGAACAGCATTTTCCATCCGCACTGAGTAGCCGGCATGCTTGGAGGGAGAGGCCTGCAGGCCTGTTTAGTACATGGGTGAGGGACAGGAGGGAGGTGAATGACTGAAGGATGAAGAGACCTCTCCTAGCCACTGAGTTAGCTTTAATGCTCAGCTATGGGATACTTTCCTTTTAGCTGCTAACTTAATGTAGTCTCCTACTCCCCACAAACACACCTCTCCAAAGTTAAACTATGTGAGGTCCAAAACAGGACAGATAAAATGATAAGCCACAAGAGGAAAGCAACGGCTGAGTGTCACAGCAAAGGACGGGGGGACAGCGGCGGGCTCTCTCTGGACTGTACAGATGGAACCCGAGCACTGGTGTACATGCTCACGTGGGCGCTTTGCAGAACTCTGTTCTTGAGCTTTCCGTGTGAAGTATGATGAGGTACACAGTCATCTCTAACTGCTTAATGTCCACAGGAAAGAAGCTCTGGGATCGAGGCCAAAGGGGAGGAGGCCCAGGGAGGCACTTTTCAGACAAATTTCTATTCTCCACATGAAGTGGGCCTATGCTGGCTGTCAGAGACTGGCAATTTTCTACAGATAACGTTCAGAGAGCATTTCACGCAAGGGAAGCTGGAGCTGACATCAGCATAACAATGGAACCAGACAATGCGCCTCTTCACAGGCAGCTGGCCAGGGCCACAGCTTCTGGCAGGTGCTGAGAACAACAACAAATGGACTTGGTGCTGGAGCGCAAGGTGCATTGTTTCTAGGCTGGCAGCGCTGGGAGAGCAGCCTCCACCGTCAGTGACACTAGCGTTCCTATGAACGGAAGCAGGAGGGCTTTCTCCCTGACAGTGGGCATCCCAGGAAGCAGTAGGGTGAGAACCCTAGAGGTGGTCCTGCAAGAACCAGGTCGGCCTTACCTTGGAAGCCAGGGGGACACACGATGAGAGCTTGCTGGAAGGGGTCTGGCCGGGCACAAATCTGGGCTGTTCCCGTCTGCAGGGGCATGCTCCGCTGGGCCACTGCGGCCATGGATGCCGCTGAGGGCTGGTAGAGTGTAGATTGGTAGTTTAGTATGGAGACTTCGGGATTGGCTAAGGAAAGAGTGGCACTGGTGGAGGTGGGAGCCTAAAGGAATGATGGGGATTAAACAAAAATAAACAAAAATAAAAAATGAGGGAGGTGGTAGGTTGGGAGACACAAATCTAAATCAAATAAATGAATTTAAAGGAGAGCTAACATAAATCAAGAGCAAAAAAGCAAAAAGAAGGGCAGGACTCCAGCTGAATGCCTCAGAGGAAGGCAGGCACCTGCATTCTCACATTTGTGAGACCCACACAGCTCACTACTGAAAAGCTAACTTAGTCTAGAAAACTTTTGCTCGAGGGTGTGGGGATGTAGGTCAGTTAGTAGAGTGCTAGTCTAGCATGCATGAAACCCTGGGTTCAATGCCTAGCACTGCATAAAAACAGCTATGGCAATCTTGTATCTATTTTGCAATCTCTGCACTCAAGAGGCTGAGGCAGAAGGATCAGAAGCTTAAGGTTATCTTAATACTACGGTAGTGACTTTGAGGCTAGCTAGGGCTGTATGAGCTCCTAATCACTCCTCTCCACCAGGGGAAAAAAATAAACAATAAAAAAATAAAAACATTGTTTAATTAAAGTCTGCTTCATCCCAGAAGGCCAGGTTTGGGTTGAGAGCCTTTGTGTTCCTTGGATTCTACAGTGGGATATGATATGGGAGGGTGGGAAAAGCCGAGCCTGTCTTTCTTCTCCTTGTCCCAGCGAGGCTCCACCTTTGCTCATCCTCTCCTCCCCTTGGATCCAGGTAGTCTATACTTGGGAGGACAAACAGGGTCCTGGATAAACAGGTCTCAGGACAGAAGCCCACGCACCAGAAGGGAAGCCTAGGCAGAGTCCTGGAAGGAGATTCTTGCTCGTAACTAAAGACAGTGCTGCCTGCAGCTACCCTTGGCCTGCTGTAGGACACAGCTACTGTAGAAGCAGCACATGGCAAACATCTGGATCTATCTTTGGAAACAGAACTTCCAACAGAAACAAAGCTGTAGAAGGAAAGCAAACTCTCTGTTGGGAATGCTTATATTCTCTCCTTAGCAAAGAGAGGCAGAGGTTAGCAATGGCTTCAGACTGAACATGGTCTAGGAGCTGTGCTGTAGAAGAGAGGTTCTCAACCTGTGAGTTACGATCCCTTTGGGAGTCACATATCAGATAGCCTGCATATCAGATATTTATATTGCAATTCGTAACACTAGCAAAATTACAGTTATGAAGTAGCAACAAAATAATTTTATGGTTGGAAGTTCCTGTTACAACATGAGGAACTGTATTAAAGGGTCAAAGCATTAGGAAGGTTGAAAACCACTGCTCTAGAGATTGTAAGAGCTATGGGATAAGGAGGAGGTGGACTGTAAGTAAATACTGGACACACATGTAAAGAGAATTTCAAGAGAAGGTCAAATTTCATAAAAAGGTCAAAGTCTTGTTTTCCTTTTTTTTATTTTGTGGTGCTGGGGAAATCAAACAAACCCAGAGCCCTGACTGCTCTAGGCAAGTCTACTACCGAGCTACATCTTTAGCCCTGCACAATTTGTTATGCTTAAATTTTGTGCTGAATTTTAGTACAAGATAATAAATTTATTTGAAAATGATTACAAACTCCTATGATACACTTAATTAGATCTTGAGCTGCATATTTTAACTGTGTATGCAGGTTCAGCATTCCACGCCATGCCTCCTGGAAGTATGGGGGGGTGGACACATGTGCACACATAGGAGCCAGTTTCTATGTACTAACGACATAACACCCATCTCCAGTCTTCCCCACACCTTTATTTTCCCTGGCTGCTCAGGCCCTGAAGGTCCCCTGCTTGAGGCCATGGCACTAATGTCTCCCCATTTGACTGCATTGTCCCAGCCTCCAATCAGTCACTGTTCTGATGCCTCTGCTTTCCAAATATCCCTAGGACCACTGGCTTTGCTCATTTGTTCTCCGGTGCCCACCTCGGACCTTTAAGTGCCTGATTAGTGACAGCTTGCCCTCTACTTCTCTTTTAATTCTTGGGCACAGGATCATTCTCTCTCTTTTAATTTTAAAAATTGTGTATGGGTGTATTGCATGTGTATGTGTCTATCTATCTATCTATCTATCTATCTATCTATCTATCTATCTATCTATCTATCATCTATCTATCTGTGTACCATGTGTGTGCCTAGTGTCCACAGAGCCAGAAAAGGGCATTGTGGATCCTGAAACTGGAGTTACAGATGATTATGATTATGAGACACAATGTAGGTCTAGGAATTGAACCCAGGTCATCTGAAAGAGGCCATCTCTCTAGCCTTGGATTATTCTCTCTTAAAGACCACTTTGCACATCAGCACCCTGTTCTGCACTTAATCATCTGCTCATAAATTCCAGCAGTGGCCTCATGAATGTGGTGTATGCATCTTGGCTCAGTACTTTTTCCTTTCTATAGACCCTCAGTTATCTTCCTTGATAAATGTCATCTACCCTTTTCTTTGGGACAGATTAATCTACTTGCTGTTTTCTTAGCTTTCTATGAGCATAGGCTATTCATCTCATAGGAATCCTCTGAAAAAACTCAGAGAGAACTCTTAGCCTTTGTGCTTTAGGGCCAGCCGGTATGAGGGCTTCGAATTGGAGCCTTCCCTGATGGTGCACGTGTACAGAAATCTGTGGTTGTGTGGCTCAACTTCCGCCACAATGTGCTGGGCAGTGTAGTCAGCATCCTGACTGATGCCTGCTTGGGGGAAGGGCCTGGGCTCTACTTGTGGTCCTCTGCTTGCCTGCCTTACATGGCCTTCATGTGTGTAGCCTGAATCTGGACCTCTTTTAGCTCAAGTTTCACCATGGAGATGACGAGCTCTTTGTAGACTCAAGGAAAGAAAAGTGAGACGCAGATCCTGACAGGATCACCAGTCCCCAGTGTGAGCAGCAGCAGCTGACAGTTTCCCTCAGTTTCCAATGCTGCTATGGATCAGCTGGTGGAAGTGTGTGTGAAGGTGAGAGAGACTTTTACTCTGTCCTCCGAGGTTCTGACAGAGCGATCGCACCTGTCTGTGAGAGGCAGCGAGGACTGCTGAGAGCTATCCTGGCTAACAAAGACAAATGAGAAGACAAAGCAAGTTCACTGGAAACCTATGTTGCAAAGATGGGCCAAGTGATTCTAGATGTTTAAACATCTTACAGTTTGACATCTGTAAGACCAGGATGTGAGTCTAACCTGTAAGCCCAGTTGAAATTCTTGGGAGAAGGATATGCCCTAAAATGAGATACCTTGGAAAAGTTAGTAAAGTGGCTAAACCTATGGATTAAGCCAAGAACACCCAGGGGAGGTCTTTCCCTTCAATATGTTACTAACAGTTTTGTTTTATTTATTTTTTTTTTTTTTGAGACAAGGTTTCTCTGTATATCCCTAGCTGTCCTGGAACTTGCTCTGTAGACGAGGCTGGCCTCAAACTCAGAGATCCGCCTGTTTCTGCATCCTGAGTACACCATCACCACCTGGCTACTAACAGTTTTTCAATGTATATAAAAATTATGGCATACTGAGCACTTGGAAAAGATCCTATATATCTGCTGGATATATGTTAAGAGCAACACAGAACTAGTTCCATGTCCTTCCACTAAAACAGAACTGTAGATGTATTTTCTTGCTTCTAAACTTCTGAATGTTTAGAATGAGTAGAAAAACTCCAAGGAGCTCAGAGAAGGAACACAGCACTGGGTCACTAATGAAAAAAAGAAGTCTTGTTGGACTTAGAGAGCGATACCATCTAGAAAAGTATCTGGGGACCCCCACAGGATTCATCAGCGCATGTGTTTCAAGAGTGCATGCAGACCCTGATACAGACTGCTGGCGTCAAAGGCCAACCCTATCTCATATGTACCAGCAGGCAGCCTTAGGAAGAGGACTAATTGCCTTGTGCCTCCGTTTCTGCCTCTAAACTGCCAATGATAATACCTATTGCACATGAATGCTGGGAAGACTGAATGATGCCATGCTGAAGAAAGTCTGACACAATAAATGTTTACTGTCAGTAACGTTATCAGGGGAGGGAAAGCATGCCTTAGAGCTTAAATCTGGGTTATAATGGGAAGAACTTGCTTTTCTGACAACAATTCAAAGCTCAGATGATGGAGAATTTGTTCTCAGGATCATGCTTTTGTAGGGCAGCATTTCATTTCCCCAGTGCTCAGGCCACCACCATTACACTAAGTTAATGGCCTTTTCTACTTTAGTCTGACCTGGCCAGCTTTGCGGGTCTCAGAGCCATGGAAAACAGAGGTGTTCTTATTTGGGACCTGCCTTTGTGTTTTTCAGTTTTGGTGATATTCTTTGGAATGGGTATGGGTGTCCTAGCACAGGAAACATGGAGGTGACCTTTTCTGATATGGTCAGGGATCTCCAGTCTCAAGCCTATGAATATATCCACAGAAAGGCTGGTGGGGCAGGGGGATTCACATGACCCCTGACACATGATCAGAGGGGTTCCTTTTCCCGTGAGCCTTCTTAGATCCTTTGGTAATGGAAGGAAGAGACAGATGGGGACAGAGGATTTGAGGTTAGGGAGTTAGAATCAAGAGTCTACTAAGGAGACTTATGGGAAAAGCAAGCCTCAGGGTAATGAAGAAAACCTTAGTGACCGCTGGTTGAGAAGCCCTAGATGCAAAAAAGCCTTAACCTCAAGGCTGGCAGACAGCACCAAAAACACTGACGGCCTCCAGGGGGCAGCAGATTCCAGACGGCGCTGAGTCTGAGCAGAGGAAGTGCTAGAAACTGGAAGTCAAGTTAAGAGGAACAGCAAGGTGAAAGGGAAGAGGGCTGATCAGGGGTCAGGGAATCATCAGTGACAGGACCTGCCAACTAAAAGTAGACACACAGGTGGTGGCATTCACACATTAGCTTTACGTATTTATTTCTCTTCTCTGAAGGTGTGTGTATGTGCTTGTGCACAAGAGACAACAACACACAGGAACACCATCATCATTACAGGTTGATACTAAGACTGAAATGTCTGAGAATACTTCTTTGGGGAACTCATGAGATTGGAAGATGGGAGTAACAGTTCAAGTCTCAGATTCTGGAGGCGGGTGAATTAGGGTGGAGAGATTCTTCATTCGGTACCTATTTCCTGAGCCTCATCTGTATTTCAAACATTCTATGTTGCTGAGTCTTCCAACCTGCAGAAGGTCGGGGATCTGTGTGAAGGAAACCTCAACTTCCTGTATCCCTTGGGTAATGCTAGGATTCTGGTGACAGACCCAAGAGCTGGCTTTTCTATGGCTTAGAGAATGGACAGGTTTTACTGCTGCTGAATAAAGACCATATGGACACAGGGGTGCGGGGAGGGACTCATGCTGGTGCTAGAACTTTTTAGCAGGCTCCATTTCCACCTCAGCTCAGAGGAGAACGGGAAGAGGTACCATCTCAGGAAGCAGGAGTCAGAACAGAGAGCCCTGTGACCTCTGAAAAAACTAACCAAGGAAGCAAGTACTTCAGCTTACAGACCTTAAAGGATAACACTGGGAAAGCTGCCCGGGTCTGGTAGGGAAAGCCTGAGTCCTGATGCCCACAGTGACAGCCCTGCCCATCTTCCCCTGGTGTCTGCCACTCACCTGGTTGTGGACAGTGGTCAGCTGGTTGTTAAAGGTCATAGTCAAGTTGGTGGATGTGCTGGGGGCCACGTGCGTGATGAATGGTGTTTTGCTCTGGTTCACTGTGTCATACATATTCACCCGGCGCTTGCAAATCTCCATGTTTTGGAAACAAGATTTGACACTGTTTATGCAAAAGGTAGAGGCAGAGACACGGGACAAGAAAGAGGGTGAGATGGGGTAAATTGAAGGAAAGGAGAGAAAACAGTGAGAAAAGGAGAGAATGGTTAATCCAGCAAAACAAAGCAACGCTGTAGCTTTCTTTGGCTTCAAAATCCTGGCCTTCTCAATGTCTGCCCATGGAACTGTCAGCACTGTGTGAGAGAAGTCCCCACTGTCTCGTTGCCCTTCCCCCATCCTGGATGGACAGGTTCCCCATATCACAGACATGCTGCATTTTATCTTCCTCCGTTACTTTTCCACCTCCAACTGCACTGCTCATCATCAGTGTCGTTCTCACTCAACAAGATGACTCTCCAACCAAGGATATCAAGGAGCTGCTACAACCTCCTTCCACCTTCCTTAGAGCCAACTTGTCTACCCCCAAATCACGCCCCACCCCCTTCTAGCGACCCTCGGCTACTTGCACCATCTAAAGGTCAGCCAAGTAATTCTCCCACCCAGGGTCATGAATTTAGGCAGCCGGTTGGCTTCACTGGAACCGGCCAAGCAATGAAAATAATGATTACTAATTTTCACTGAGAGCAGTGGTATGTGCTGCAATCTCCATTTCAGTCTTACACCACCCACAAGACAGAATTATGATCATTGTCTCAATTTTATAAGTAAAGCCATATGTTTAGGACAGATAATTTGCCTGAAAGAGAATTACTGACTAGCAATTCACTCCTACCTCCACCTCTCCCTCACATACACATTCCTAGCTTCCTTAATCCTTCCTTTCGTCTCTGTGTGTAATTCTTGTCTAGTTTCATGAAGTAGAACTCTTTCCCCCTTTTCTTCCTTCACTGTCTTGGTGAATCAAAACCAAACCCCTAACAACAAAGTATTAAAGCAGTGTAGGCACAGTGTAAAGGCCGCTGGTGGCCTTGACCCTTCCGGCTCCTGAACACCCACCGCGTCCTGCTCCATACTCTGCTCCTAACACACTACCTCTTCTGTTAGCTTCACTCTCCTCAAGCGCTAATGCTCAGGATAAAGCCGCATTTAATCTACAATTTAAAATGTCTATTGAAATAACTGAATATAAACTACAGGTCTGTTCTATTTTGGACTAAACAGGTATTTGTAGGCTATCCCAGAATATGCTTTTTAAGAAAGATACCTCCCAAATTTCAGAAACTGAACATGCACATGACCTAGAGATTGCTACTTCTTTCTAAGTTAATGACTATCACACTGGCTGCTCGATACACAATGCATAGCAAACAAACCGAAGGTCTAGAAAGAAGAGAAACCATATCCACTGGTAAACAACGCCATGCCCACCACAGCTTCTGGTGCGCACCTCAAGTACTGCTGAGCGCTTTCATCCTGAGCAAAGACAATGAAATCATGCTGCATGCATTCTTTTTGGAACGTATTTAAAGCACTCAGTGATTTTGTGATGGCTCAATGCTTGTCTCCAGACTAGAGTTTCCTCACTGCAATGGGTTGATCTTGACTGTTAGGATGAGACGAGCACTTCTACTTTGGGTCAGTTTACAAGAAGACTGGCTTTAACCATGCGCACACTAGAACCTGGCTGGAGAGAGACGAGTGCTTTTGCTTTCACCTGCAAAACCTTATGTTAGAGCAGCTTAGGCCCAGCCCCAAGGGTCCACAGGCCTGCAAGCTTGTTCTTCATGGTCTTCTAAGAACCCACAAAGAGTCAACCCACTCTCACATAGACCCAGGGATGGCCTGTCTTTCTTTTTTAGGCTGACCTTCCAAGTTCTAAATTGTCATGGCTCCTTAGTGAAACTCTATGGATGCTCCCTTACTGAACACAAAGAATAGGGACCTGCTCATCTAACCCCCAAGTTTTTTGGGGTGACTGTTTCACTGGCTTAAGATGGCCAATAGGAGCTCTCTGAAGAATCTGCCTCCCCGATCCCCCACTTCACTGTTTCCCCATCATTTAGCTTTATTCCTAAAGATAGAACGCTGGCTTTGTGGGATAGACTGAGACTTCCTTAACTGCCTCCTGCTATTGAGAAAGGCACAGGTGTTATAATTTGGAAGGGCTGGGTGCAGGGTCCTTCTTTACACTGGAACTTGGCTGTTCCACGCGTGCCCTGAATTAGAGCTATCGTCTGGGTCTTGCAGTGCAAGTTGACTTCCTTCACTGACTGCTATGGAAAAGAACTGACATAGAAGACACACTTCAGGAGGCTGCAGCCCACTTGTCAGGCTAGGAAAGGTTGGGTCCAGCCTGGAGACTCAGTCCACTCTAATTTTGGTCACAGTACTGGTGACTATGGGCTGAGAACATCTGTCTCCAGGCTCTTCTCTCAGCAGTCCTAGGGACCTGTGGGAACCACCGCTTTGGGGAGCACACTACTTTCCCAGCAGAAATGCAAGGATGGGAATCTATGCTTTCATGCCCCAGGCACCTCAGGGTTCAGGCTGAGGTGATATAACCCATTTCCCATCCACAAAAGACCTCCTTCCTCTCTTTCTCATTCACAGAGAACTGAGCCACCAGAGTGGTCTCCACTCCAAGCTATTTTCTGACCACCCAGGAATACTTCAGTGGCCACACAGATGACCTGTCAAACACCTACACTTCCTGCCTCAGGACCTTGTTTTCCACCTCACCACTCCTTCTTTGGGCCCTCAGACTGGACTATTAAGTCTCAAGGGCAAGCATCCTGTTTCCTTGACCTCATTCTCCACCCATCTGCTGCACTTAACTATAACTATTATCAGAACTATCTTTAGAGTTGACCAGAGGGCACAATTCATTGGAATCTAATGAATTTCCTTCCCCTCAGGTGAACCTTCCACAGCTTCCATTTGGGATTATAATTACCATATCACCAGCATCATCAACTTCCTCATCCGTTTGTCTTTTTCTCTTAACAGCCTGGCAGCAGCTCAACTGGACAAACTCAACTGTTTCCTCTACGCCTTTGAGTAGGACGGTCACTTATAACATCAGTTCATGCTCAGACTCAAATGCTCAAAGCTCTTCCTACCTTCTTCCCTCTTCCTCAGCCTTCCAAGTGTTGAGATTACAGATCTATTCCACCACACCCAGCTTCCTCCTGTATTTCTCTGGTTTGCTGTCACCTTCTGCTCCAGTTACCTACTCTCTGTTTCTCTCCTCTCTCCCTTCCCCTCTTTCATAATTTCTTTCTTTCTTAACATTCTATTTTGCATATGTATGTATGAGCATGTGTATGTTTGTATATGTGTGTATATATGAAGGCCAGACGTTGACACAGTATCTTCTCTTTTTAATTCTTAAAAATATTTATTTATTTTTATTTATATGTATGTGTGTGTGTGTGTACATGCATGAATGTATGTGCATTGTGTGTGCCCGAAGAGGCCACAGGGCATTGGATCCCCTGGAGCTGGAGTTACAGATCGTTGTAGATCTGATGTGGATTCTGGGAGCTCAGCCCAGGTCCTCTGCAAGAGAAGTAAGTGCTCTTAATTGTTGAACCACCTCTCTAGCCCCCAAGGGTCTTTTTTTTTTAATTAAAATTTTTTATGCGTATAGGTGTTTTGCTGTGTGTTTGTCTGTGCACTATATGCTGTCTGGTGCCTGGGGAGGCCAGAAGCAAGCACTGGATCTCTTGAGACAAAAGTTATAGACAGTTATGAGTTACCATGTGGGTGCAGGGACTTGAACCCAGGTTGTCTAAAGAGCAGAAGGGCTCTTAACTACTGCGCCACCTCTCTAGCTCCCCTGAGTGCCTTTCTTGACTACTCTTCAAGTAGTCTAGCTAACCAGCTTGCCCCCGGGATCCTCTATCTTCGCCTCTTGAGCTCTGGGATTATAGGCAGACCGCCTGGTTCCCAACCCCAGTGCTCACATCTGTGTGGCTAATGCTTTATCCTGAGCCACCGCTCCAGCTACAATCATCACAGCGTTCTCCAATGGTAAAGCCTTCACTCATCTTGTTCGTAACAGGCGGCCTCATCATCTATTTCAGAGACAAAAGCTGTCTGACAGGAACTCCCCCAACTTTCCTCTGCTATTCAGTGAACCTCGCAGACATCCCTACCTTTCTCCCGCCATCTTTTAGTGGCAGGGCCCACCTCTCCCCTCAGCTTAAACACTGGCTCAGAAGAAACTGACCACAGGCTATCTTTTCCCTTGAACCTCTTGCTTGCTACCAGGCTCTTCCCATTAGTATTTGCTTAGGTTTCCCCACTCTTCAGAAGCTTTCCTCTTGTCCCTCTGGACACACCTCTGCGTCCTCCCTCCTGTTCCACAGCCTCACACTCTGTAAGGCTGCCACCCACTACTCTGCTTGCACGTATCTTCAATCTGCTCAACAAGTTTCTGCTTGAAAATGGCTGTCACTAAGTTACCAGCACCCTCCCCGTTGTAAGATATTACAGACATTATTTTTTTTTCTAGATTACTGATATGTTAGCAGTTAGGTCTGTATTCAACACAAATCTAACCAGCCATTTCGTCTGCTTCTAAGTCTTTTAATGTGCTTTTGATAATAAAAGACAAAATCCTCCTTTGGCATGGCTTTCTCAAGCTTACTTCCGTGGCCTCGGCATGTCACTCAGGGTCCCAGTGTTTAGTCATGCTGGAGAGTTCACGCAGGCAATGCCCTGACTGCTCACATCCATCTTCTTCCTCGCCCTTCAGAGGTTACACTCGTGGGTCTTCTGGCCTGCTGAGTCAGCTCCTTGTTACACTGCCTCATTGCACCTCCTTTCTTCCGTGGTAACAGCCATTGTTTTATACCTTCTTCTCTGAAGACCATAGCTCAGTGTACCCCAGCACCTGCTAACAACTTATAGCAAGCAAGGAAATGGACAAATCCAAACAGACTAGACCAGGTCACTCCGGGACAGCTTTGGGACTCACTTTGGTACTGATGCTAGACTGCTTCAGGGCACTGTTGTTTTGTGTACTTCTTCCTTTGTGCACTGATACCCAAGGTCCCAAGGTCTCCCATGTTTCCTCCTTTTGCTACAACTGCAATCTTAGGTCCAATATAGCCCTTATAAGTTTTCTAAGTGCTTTCTGGGAACACGGATCCCCAGCTTTGCTTATGTAATGGATCACAATTGCTTTCAACTGCAACTGTACTGCACTGCAGCAGCAGAAACCAGAGGGCCAGAAAGCCTGAAGTCTTTACTATCTGGGCCTTCAGAGTGCTGCCCCGGTACAAAGGACAAAGCGGGACACTCACTGTGTACTATGGGGAAAGTCGAGCAGGTGTGTCATTGTGACAAAGGGGTGGTTCAGAGTTTCGATGGGAGTGATCCTCTTATCAGCATCTATGGTCAGCATCTTCTTTAATAGGTCAATGAATTCCCGTCGGTCTGCCTTCTCTACCAACATGTCACTCCCTTCCAAATCTGTTGTCATGTTCACCTGGAAGCAAACAGGGACAGGGGCGTAAGAGCCAGAGTATACCCTATAACCTCCTTCGATCTCAAGCCCATCTCAGCTGCCAGAGGGTAGATGGCCCTAGTGGAAGCCATGGTCTTGTGTGCTGCCACTGTCTGTAGGTCATGGTTTCTTATGCTGTAAGAACAGAATGGCCGAGGCAGTCAGGCACCAGGTAGCGGTGGGGGCAGAAAGACGCTACAACGGTCGATACTTGTAAATATATCCCAGTGATAAGGCACAAAACTGCTTCTGTTTTAACTGGCCAAGAAAAATGCAGCTTTTGTCACACCTTATTAAAATAACCACAGGATGAAAGGTTCTGGAGACTGATTGCATAACAAATACTCCTGAACTTTATGTTTAAAAAAGGCTAAGATGAGAAACTTTATGCTGTATGTTTTACTACAATCAAATAATGACAAAGAAATACACACACCCCTACCTCAGAATTTCTAAGATATAGCATAGAAGATAGAAAAAAGTTCATCCAACCGTGGAGGGAGAAAGAGCCTGGGTTCCCTCTTCCTTCACCTTCATGACATCTCCCTTCTCATAGCCCCTGAATTGGGACCAGAAAGATTTTAGTTTCTGTGTCCCCCGCAGTCACTTCCGGCCAAGGAGGTGTACCTGGACACAGGACTCTTCTCCCAATGCCAGGTCTATACTAGTATGGCCTTTAAAAGGCTTGCTTCGTGGTGCTTTCTATTTTTTTTTTTTTCAAGAGGGGCTCTGGGAAGCAATTCCAGTTTTCGCAGACCATTTAAGCTACTAATCAACTGACAAGGGTACTCTCCTCAGAAGCAGAGGCTCTGGCTGCACTCATCGTTGCTAAGAGGTGTGCTACGACTTCATTTCTCAGTATTTGAATAGAAAACTCATTCTGGGTTGCTCTGAGTTTGGACTAGTCTCTAACTAAAAACACCTAGTGATCTGGAATTATCTCTGACACAAAGGTAAGAAAAAGCCTCTGCTCGTGAGCTGACAGTGACTGAGTGGTCTGAATTGGATTCCCCTAAAAGCTTACATTCAAGTCCTGATCTGTGGAAGCTATAAATGTGACCCTGTTTGGAAATAGGGTCTTTGCAGATATAATCAAGTTAAGACGAGGCCATACTGGATTAGGATGGTCCTAAATCCAATAACCAGTGCTTTTATAGGAGAAGAGACCTGACACTGAGACCAGAGATGACACAGGGATAAGAGCCGGCCGAGGGTAAGGGTTAGGGGGATGCAGTTGCAGGGAAGGAATCCGAGGCTGCTAGGAGCCACGAGCAGCCAGGCATATGGGTGGGGTTCTCTAGCGCCTTCCAAAGGACTGTGGTTCTGAGGACACTGACACCATACACTTTTAGCCTCCAGAACTATGAGAGAATACATGGGTGTTGTCTTAAGCCCTCCAATTCACTCTGTCTTGTTATAGAGGCCCTATAAATTGACACACTGAACCAAGGGCATCAACTCCAACACAGCAATGGGCTGGACCTCTCAGCTCGGCAGTGAATGCCTGCCTAGCACATGCAGGGCCATGGGTTCAGGCCCTTTTAGCACCACATTAGTAAGGCTGGCTGCCACGTCCACAGCAGTGACTGCCGTGTAGTGACAAAATGCCTCTGCGCTGGCTTTTGCCTGCTGAAGGATTGGGGTTAGAGCTTCTTGGAGCGAAGCCCCAGGTGGTCCCCCTGGCAATCAGCAGTCCAGAGAGGACCTGATGCCCTAGGCAAATCTCGTATCTGGAGATGGCCCTGAGAGCGAGCACTCCTGACACCTTGCCTGATCTTTCTCTGTATTTCTTAATTTTCCTGTTTGCAGCTGACCGCTTACCAAGAGATCAAAGTACGTCCTTGGCTTGGCTCCACTGTTCAATAAAGCAGTCCTTGAGGAACTGAAGTATGCCCCATGCCACATGAGCCTGGGAAACTTTATTATTTATGAAACAGAAGCGGCTAAAGTTAAAATGTTACGAGGGAATCGTCATAGTGAATCAGATCGTCATAGTGAATCAGATTTAGAGAGAAAAGGAGAGTTAGAGAAAATTCCCCTTTATGAAAAGATTAGCTAGATCTCAGAAGCCCTGGAGTCTTTATAGTAAGAAGGAAAGAAAGGAAATTATTGATAACATGAGACTAGTTTTAATATATTGGTATAGGAACTATCATGAGAAAGTGAGAAAACTATTAGGGGATATGGAGCAAAGAATAAAAACTATATAGATGGAAAGCTAAACACAGGACCCTGAGAACTAGTCTCCCACAGTAGAAAGTAAATAATGGTGTGAGACAGAGTTCTAAAAGACAAAACAAAAACTAAAAGTCCTTGCCAACATCTTGAGCACGGAAGGGGGAACACGTAGAAAGGAGCACGTAGAAGAAGCTCTATTTTGGTTATGCTTAATCTTGATTTATGTCTGGAACCCTGAGTGGGGTGATGTAATGCACCTGCCAAGTTCTTTGATCTGTTTTGTACAAAAACTGAAGCTTTGCAGAAGTAAAGTTGCAGCAGATTTTCACTACACAGTGTGTCTGTCTGTCATTTCCCTTGCATCGTATCCTGACTATCCTATCCTTCACCTTGGTCCCCCGTGGGTGGTGGTCTCCGAGAGGGACGGTCCGTGGCAGCTGGCCATTACAATGGAGCTATCCTTCCTTCTTTCCTTCCTTTCTAATTTTTTTTCCATGTATTTTACATACCAACCACAGTTTCCTCTCTCTCCTCTCCTCCTGTTCCCTTCTAAGCTGCTCATAGCCCATCTACTCCTCCACTCCATTCAGAAAGAGGCAGGCCTCTCATGGGAATCAGCAAAGTAGGGCACATCCAGCTGAAACAGGACCAAACTCCTCCCCCTGCATCAAGGTTGGGCAAGAAAATCCACCATGGGGACTGGGTTCCCAAACACCAGGTCAAGCACCAGGGACGGATCCCACTGCTAGGAACTCCACAAACAGACCAAGCTACACATAAGTAGAGAGCCTAGGTCAGTCCCATGCAGGTCCAGAATTGGTGAGCTCCTACAAACTCAGGTCAGCAGTCTCTGTGGGCTCCTTTGTCTTGGCCTTGACCCCTGCCCCCTACCCCTGAGTCCTCCCCCTACCAACCTGGCTTGTACAACCCCTCCTCCCTTTCTTCAGGAGGACTCCTGAGCTCAGTTTTTTACTAACTCTGGCATACATTGTTCAAAAGTAAAGTCAATGAAGTAGGGTAGTGGGGGCTTCTACTCTATCCTGCTGTTGAATAAATCTCACTGCTGGTGGGTTTTTATTGATTGATTGATTTTGGTTTTTTGAGGTGGGTTTCTCTGTAGCTTTGGAGCCTGTCCTGGAACTAGCTCTTGTAGATCAGGCTGGCCTCAAACTCACAGACACCCACCTGCCTCTGCCTCCCGAGTGCTGGGATTAAAGGTGTGCGCCACCACCGCCCGGCTTTTTTTTTTTTTTTTTTTTTTTTAAGACAGGGTCTTTCTACTTAGCTCTAGCTGTCTTGAACTCACCATGTAGCCTCAGACTCACAGAGACTGAGTTCTGGGAGTAAAGACAGCACCAAACCCTGCCCTGAAGGCGTCTATTTTAAAGTGCTGTACTGCACACACATCCATAGAGCTTACCTGGGCCATATCATCCAAACAGTTAAAAATGTACTTTCTTGCTTCTTTTGACTTAATCCCCGTCTCAGCTTCATGGTCATCTGGTGTCTGTTTAGAAAAGGAAAACCTGGTAAGACAGCATCTCTTAGTCACTACATCTCAAGTGCTCGAGCTCCTGCTTCCCCCCAGGGTCTTTTCCTCACCTTATAGGGAAGGGAGACTTGGGCTCTGCTCTCTCCATCCACACTACATCTCATCTTCCTTCCTACTCTGACACAGCTACCAAAGATCCTGAAGAGAGCAGGAAAGCAACACCTCATGCCCTGCAGCTTCCCGTAAGCTGACGGTTAAGATTTCACTGTGGAAGACCAGCGTCCTTCCTGACATGCTTTAAATTTTTATTTTACTCAACACTCCCTTATGCCTACAGCTCCTAGCTGTTTCAAGGCACGTTAACTTACTAAATGCTCTTTATAACCATGACCATTAGGATGACTGCTATTCCCTACTACGATATATGGGAACACAAGAATACATAGCTCCGGGGACCTATCAGAGCCCCTGGCCAACAAGTGGCACCTGTTTGCAGAGCCTGTGCTCTGTGCTGCTCCCCCAAAGACCCTCAATACACTACTGGCTGGGAACCCACCGCGGCGACTTGGCATGGGATTTGGACTCATTCATGGATCTAAGGTAATTTATTCTGGCTGTAGGCACGCACACTCAAAGCAGCCCAATCCCTAAGAGCAGCTGAACTCAAAGAACCAGTTTCCTGGTAAACACAGAAGTAGTCATCTCCTACCCCCAACCTGGGCTCTTCTTCTGTCTACAGACTTCTTACTGGACCTGACCTTGACAACTCACTGCCATAATTATTGAATGTCAGGAGATCTGTTCATAGCCTGAGCACCTGCTTAACTTCCAAATCCCAACATTTATTTATTTAATTTATTTATTTATTTATTTATTTATTTATTTATTTATTTATTTATTTATTATGTATATGATATTCTTTCTGTGTGTATGCCTGAAGGCCAGAAGAGGGCACCAGACCTCATTACAGATGGTTGTGAGCCACCATGTGGTTGCTGGGAATTGAACTCAGGACCTTTGGAAGAGCAGGCAATGCTCTTAACCACTGAGCCATCTCTCCAGCCCAAATCCCAACTTTTTGAAAGTATGTATTATCTTTAAACTTTATTAGGATTTGGTTGGATCCTGTCAAAACCAAACCAAACCAAACCCACTAAAATTAAACCTACTGCAAAAAAATGAACATACAACATACTTAAGGTCTGTTTTTACTTTTTCCTTCCCAGGAAAAGTATGTTAATTTTAATTATGAGACACAAGTTAAAGTAAAAGCAAAATATGTTTCCATTAAGGTAAAATCACCAAGAGTTCATGGTGTCCAGCAGGGCCCGGATGAATCAGATCAGCCTTCATCCCAAGGGCTTGTAACATTTGCATTGCTTAGGCTGCTTTCATTGCCTGGGCAATGTCAACCAGTCTATACTAGGAAATTCCCTCTGTACCCTACAGGGCCCAGTACAAATATTCTTTCTCAGCTTGGCCCCTGGCCTAGCTTTTCCTTGGCTCACTTGGATCACTTGTGTTTCTCACATTCTTTCCCCCCAAGAGGAAGACACTCCATTTGGTAGCCCAGAGCTTGGGGCATTAGTCCTATCCCCCCATGGACAGTGAGCTCCCTAAAGGTGAGGTATGGCAGCTTCATCTACCTAGCACAAATTAGTCACCAGGGATCACGTCCTATAAATCCAGCAGTCTTTCCAGGGGATACAGCCTCTCAGGCAGCAGGAGGCCAAAGGAACAGATCTTTCAAACATTCAGATCCAACCACACCTTGCATTCACAACTATATTCTACATTCCCATCTTGCTGGTCAAATTAAAGCTATCAATTTGAAAATTTCAAAAGCTCATTTTTGTCTTTCCTTCTTTCTTCACTATTGGGCCACCAGAGTGGAATGGAGGGGTGTTTTTCCTACCTTTAGCCTCCATAAAGGATATGGAGAGTCGGTGTCACGGTTGAAAAACCTAGTTGTCTTTGTCCCTGCACTTAATAAATATTCCGCTGGCAAACCCTGTGTTTGTGAAATATACCGAATCTGCAAGAAAAAATGAGAAAGAGGTCGGGGCTTTTCCTGTCACTGTACATATGGTATACTGATGACTCTAGCGGCTTTGAGAAAAAATGGAATTATTAGTTTTAGAGGAAAAAAAGGAGCAAAGAAACACACACACACACATACACAGGGTGGAGAGATGAGATAAGAAAACAAAGGAGCCAAGAAACAGACAGACAGACAGACAGACAGACAGACAGACAGACACACACACACACACACACACACACACACACACACACACACAGTGGGGAGATAAGAGGAAGCCAGGCAAGAGAGACAGTAAATCAGCCCTTAAGAATATCAGAGGCCAGAGTCTAAGCGAAATGGTAATCTAGGATTGTCTGGATGGAGAATGAAGCCACACAGCGAATTCTTGTGTCACCCAGACCTACCTGATCATATTCGGAAGCTCCTGGATATAACGGCCAGCCCAGGAACAGCTCAGCAATGACACAACCAAGGGACCACATGTCAATAGCCTCACAGAATGGCAAACCAAGGATGATCTCAGGGGCCCTGGAGAGGAACAATGGGAAGAACCATTGGTGCTCTAGCTCTCTCCTGGGGAACACCATGACTGCCTGTGTGGGGTCTGTGGTCTTTAAGGGAGGCCTGCATTGCGATGACGTCTCCAACCTTGGCTTTATCATCTAGTTAGAAGAGGACATAGTTAGCCTGGCAGTGCAGAGTGGGCAGGTGGGTGACGCATGTCTGTGGGTGTCACACCATCACACTCTGGCCACACGCTCATGAACTGATAACAACAGCAGAAGCAGTAGGGAGTTAGTTTTCGTAGCTGAACACCTGGAATTCTTTATAAAGAACGCCTGGTTTTTAAAAAAGGAATTCTGAAACAGTCTACTTTCAGGCATACATAAAAATAGCTGCCCCCAACTGAAAATAAGGCAGTTAAGGCCAATAACCATTCTTCATGGTCTTTGTTTCAGGCATCAGTGTCACAGTTCCTCAGAGGAACACTGTTATTACTCTTCCCACCAGTTTCTAAGTGGCTAATCTCTATGAAAGTTCTTCAATGTTACAACTGTAGAACCCCATTCATGAATAGACCATCTTGAGAGTCAACCAGAATTCCATTATAAACCCACCAAACAGATCACTTCTGACTGTAGGACCTAATGTCCCTGCAAATGACAGACAAGGTCACATCCTAGAAATTTCAAAGAAATTTTAAAGAGGAAAGTGCACATGTATTTGGTATCTAAAACCAGACTACAAAATATACCTTCTTTTAAGTTTTATTAATGTACATGTGTGTGTATTTGTTTGAGGGACAAGAGGACACTAGGTCCCTTGGAGCTGGAGTTAGAGGCAGTCGTGAGTTACTCAACATGGATTCTGGGAACCAAACTTGGGTCTTCTGGAAGTGCACCAGCCATCTCTCCAGCACCTACATCTTCTGTTTTAAGCACCTGTCCTGACTAGGTAATACTATGCCTTGGTACGAGACAGGCTCAGGGTTTGAGGGGTAACTACAGTAGAGCTGCTTTGAATGTGCTCAGTGCATTGTGTTGACAATGAAATGCTTTAGCTTAACCTGCCTCCTCTATGAGGTTTCCATGCCACAGAGCCATGTCAGAGCACTGCTGTGCCACACTTTAGAAGTTGGGGTGGGAGTGAAGAGCCAAGGGTCTTTCTGCAAGTTTGGTCACCTTTCTCCTTGCTGGGATAAAGGAAAGGAGGTAGTAATGAAACCACTTCTATCAGCCTCACATCTTCCCCTTTTAGCGCAATACTTTTTGATTATAAAACAGCCATCGTCACCTCTTTTTAGATTTGCCCTTATTGCTACCATTGTGTGTGTATATGGAGGCCAGAGGACAACCTTGGGTTTCAGTCCTTAGGAGCTACCCAGGCTGTCTCACTGGCCTGAAACTTACCAAGAAGTCTAGGCTGGCTGGGAAACAAGCCCTAGGGAAGCTGCCTGTCTCTGTCTTCCTAGTGATGGAATTACAAGCATACACTATTATTCCTGGGTTTTGTTTATTTGTTTATTTATTTTTTTTGAAACGGGGTTTCTTTGTGTAGCCCTGGCTATCCTGAAACTCTCTCTGTAGCTCAGGCTGACTTTGAATTTGCAGAGATCCACTTGCTTCTATCTCCCGAGTGCTGGGATTAAAAGTGTGCACTACCACTACCTGGCTCATTTCTGGATTTTATTACAGGGGTCCTGGAGATTAAACTCAGGTTACCAAGTGAGTTATCTCCCCTATGAAATAGTATTGAAAAACAAAATCCCAAGTGTTTTGCTGCAAAGTTTTGGTTTTTTTCTGATATATGTGTGCTTCTGTGGTGCTACTATGGTTGCTCTGAGTAGCAAGAAGAGTGTTACAGTTTGGATATTGAATGCCTCCCAGAGACCTGTGTACTTATTTAGGGGTTGGTCTCCAGTGTGGCACCATTGGAAGGAGGTGGAATATTTAGCAATTTGAACCTAGTGGAAATTTCACTGGGGATAAGCGCTTATAAGAGACTGTGGGTCACTTACCCCTGAGTCTTTCCCATGTGGTATGAAAGGTTTGCTTTGCTATATACTCCTGCCTGTGTGCTGCCTCAGTCAATCCTTATACTGGAACTTCCAAAACTGGGAGCCAACTGAAGTCACTTCTAAGTAAACTGTCTTAGGCATTTCCTAAGGGTGAGGGAGAGTTGGCTAGAACAGAGGAGCATCACTGCTAGGAACAAAATTGCCTTGATGCCATCTAAAAGGTATTCCTGTCCCCACTCATTCCCTGTTAGAAGCAGCTGCCAGCCCCCCCCCCTCGGCCTTTGTTTGCTCTAGTGCAGTTAGTACCTATGTGTGTGGGCTACTGAGGTTGCTCGTGCTCACCAACATCCACAAGCTGGGGTGCCTGTGCCTGTTCTACAGTGTATGCCCACCTCGATGAGCTTTGATCCCATCACCTGCCTAAGTCACCTGTATCTTGGAGACCCTAGTCCAGGACTCCCAAACCTATTTCTCATGATGTGTAACTAATGAGATAGCTGGCAGATGCCTTTGGAGATAGTCTATTCATTTAAGAAAAAAAAAATCACATCTCTTAGGAAGGGGATGCTTGAAAAGAATATCAGAGAAAAATGAGTGTTACAAGCTGCTTTTCTTCCTCCTCTCTGTTCTAGAGTCACATGTGGGTTCAGGTCTGTCCAAAAGAGTTCCTGCTCAGGCTTTCCTCAGCAGCCTGCCAGCTATGGTCCTCGTGTCTGGATGCATCACATCCCAGCCTCCAGCCCCCGTGTCAGGAACAGGTGTGTCTAGTTCCCTAGAGTCTTCCCTGCATCTGACAGTGGGCAATTCCTGTCAAGTTAATTGACTGGTTCTTGTGGCCTCCATGCTGACAGCTTCCAGTCTCTCAACCAGGCCTCTGTTCCTAGGGCTGTGCATGATATAAACATCGGGGCGTGCCCTGCAGACACTTTGGTGATGTCCTTTGGTAAGAAACACCACATATAGATTTCTGCAACTGCCTATATGAGCAGGGCCTGTGAATGTTGTTCTTTCTCAGTCTACCAGGAGAAAGAAATGGCAGCCACTCATGGTACTATGGTATGTACATACAGCAGAATATTTTTTTGCTTTGACCATAACGATTATATACTTAAGCACTTGACTAGATGAATGAAGACAAAAGAAATAGAAACCAGGTCTGTCTATGAAGGGCCTTCCAAGGTAGAAAGGCAACACTAAAACAAGGGACAAGAGTAGAAAACATGAGTGATATAAACACAGACATGAAAGAGCATCTAGCCCAGCACACACCATGCCTCAGCAGCGCCTACTTTGGTAAAACAAAACAGAATGCAAGGACAAAGTAAACAAACGTAAGCAAACCTCAAACACACATCTTTCCTTAATCCTTCTCTCTGTGTTAGCTGGAGTATCTGATTCCTCCACACACCATTTTTCATAGCAATGGCCTCCTAGAGTTCCTCCCTCTTCACAACATACTGACTTTGTAACTTTTCCTGGTGGGCTTCAGATGTGTTTACACTCACGAGCCCATACTACCAAGATTAGTATGGCCTTGTCATATACATTGGCCAGCATCTCAGCTCTACGATTGGAGAGCTGCCTTTCTCCTATACAACTGCCTATTGCTCCTGCTTTCCAATAGCTTTCCCTAGCTTTCTAGGGGGCCACTTTACCATACCCAAATTTCTTACCTGTTAATACCCTTTGCTAGAACATCCTCCTCCTTCATCCAAATGCTTCATGTCCCCTGTTCTTTTCCTTCTGTTCATTTCCAAGTGATTACCAAGATTTTTTGTTCAACATAAATAATATGCTGCACTAGGGATACCGCTCAGGAGTCGTGTACTTGCCTAGGGATACCGCTCAGGGGTCGTGTACTTGCCTAGGGATACCGCTCAGGGGTAGTATACCTACCTAGCAAGCACAAGTTTCTCAGCTCACTCTCCAGTATTACAAAAAAGGTATATAGAAATCTTAATTATTTAGATATGGGGTTGTTATAAGTATAATTAGTTAAGATGAAGCTGTACCATAGAGGGTGGGTTCTAATCCAATGACTGATGTCCTCATCAGGATAGGGAAATTTGGGCACAGATACTGAAAAGACTGCATTTATGTGCCACAAGTCAAGCAGCCTTGCACATGAAAAAGAGGAGCTACTTTTCCAAAGTAGGGGCGGTTGAGATATGATATGTGCCATGCTAGATGTTTTTCATGTCTACAGCCACAAAAAGGCAGGGCTACCACCCTGACTTTGGTCTTCTGGGCTCCTGAACAGCAACAAAGTAGCTGCTGTGTCAAGCCATGGATTTTGTGGTCCTTGTTTGCAGCACTAGGAAACCTGTAGAGCAATAGTGCTAGCCCTTAGAGGTTTAAATTTTACATCTAAATCTCAGTCTCATTTTGAACTGTCTTTCCCGCTCCGGGCTCATATCTGACAGCCTGGAACCTCATATGCTTTATCACAGTCATGTCAAAACTCACAGTTCTTCCTCTGTCTTCCTCATTCTACTAAATGGATCCAACATGCCCATCCCCAACCAGGACTGGTCTCCTATTCCCCTTTCCCTTTATTCCCCCCACCACCCACTTCATCCGTGTGCCCACATCCAAAGTCTACCTCAAATCAGTTCCTATTCCTCTTCTCCCCTGGCACTGCTCTGGCCCCAGCGACTGCTTCACTTAGCGCTGGCTCCAATAGCCACATGTTTCAAGTCCTCAGAGGCTCTTGCAGCACTCAGAATATATGAACACCACCCTCCCCAGTTAAGGACCCAATCTGCCCTTCCACTGTCACTTCAAATCACTGTCCGAGCTCAATAGGCTCTGGTGCCAGCAGTTTCTTTTCGATTTCCAGAACACCTTAAGCACCTGTGGGCCTGCAGCCTTCAGGTAATGTAGTAGTTGCTTCTGCTTCTGTGCTTGCCCCACAGCTCTCCAACAGCTGCCTCCACATCCTTCACATCTCCGCTTAATTGTCACCGCCACAGACAGACCTCCCCTGACACCAGTTAGTCTCCATCTCCAG